TGGTTCCACTCGAGCAATGGCCTGACGCGCGCGCAATGTCACTCAGCGGCGGCCTCCTCAGCGAGTGCCCGATCCATCTCCACTTTCTCCTGCATATTTGTTGGTTGGTGATTGATTGGTTCTTGTTTTGTTTGTTCTCATAGTTTCCAGTAGTTGGTGATTCTTTCCAGCCCGGCCTTCTGTTCTTCAGTATAGATCCAGCGAAGACAGTTGTTGATAAAGGTAATGTCTGCAACAGGCTGTTGGAAATATTCTTTGTAACCCGCCCGCCAAGTTTCTGTCTGATCCGTATAAAAGAACTGACTGACTTGACGATTGTATTGAAAACCCGACCGAATTTTGTTGTTGATTCTGGCTGAGTGACGAAGATTTCCAGATTGATTTCAGGTTGATGAATGTGTTCCTCGTCTTCTCCATTTTCGCTCGATTTGACATCCTCATCCGTTCCGACTTCCTGTAGTTGAGACAATGCTCCCTAGATCTGTGAGTAAATGAAGTAATCTCTTTCAAATCCCTCCTGTTGATGGTGATTGGCGCCTAGATTACTAGCTGTTATGTTCTCGTCGCTGAATTATTGTTATGGACTGGTCGAGAAACTAATAGTCCTGACGCGAGAAGGCGGAAATCAGAAGACCTCTAGGTTTGCGATGATACTTCTATTGTCCAAACACAAGGAGACGAAAATAATTGGTCTCACACCAAAGTGGTAAGCAAGTCAAGTAGTTGTAAAGTAAAGTAGTTCACACAAATTGTGAATGCGAATATATATAAATAATTCAGACAAGCGTGGGAAAAATCATTAGACAGTCTTAACATGAATGGCTAATTATAATGGAGTGTCGATCCAATTATACATAGCGAATATAGCAGACATGCCAACAAACATATATGGATATATGTCACCAAGCGACGGACTGTCAACAAACACTCATATTATATATAATATAATATAAGGAGAATACACATTATTAAAGGAGACAAGTCCATACAAGTGAAGTGGTCACAGACTAACCGAGCAAACAGAAAGAGAGACCAACATACACACACACATAAATATATATGTGGATACATATCACTAGCTCACTAGTTTTTTAGCCTGTCCCAAGCCCGGATAAAGACGGAGGGTTGGGGTGTGGTGCTAGCAACTTCACCCCTAAAACTTAACCAAATCGCGACAGAAACTTTAACACACGAATATATCAATGATGATGATTAATCATGAGAGTTGTACTCAGGATACACATAGGAACAAAGTGGGGAATACGAAGTTACGTAAGAGTCCTAAATGAATATACAAGGAATATAAGCAATTAAAGAAACAGGCAAAAGAAATTAAGTCATCAAAAATCAACAAACTTGTTGCCATGACAGTAAAAGTGGTTGAATAATTCTCTTTTGTATGCCCAGCTCCGGTTTTCCTATGTGAATGGTCAGAGCTTCAGCGATACAAAGAAGACGAAACCGTATTGCCTTTGATAGGTTATTCTTGACGCTGTAGATTACTTTGAAGGAGGCGTTTGTTGAGATGGAATGATCAGTGTTAACCAGATGTGCAATTATCGCACCTCTTATAGCACCACTATTGCCTTTTCGCAACCATGCTGGATAGTATTCTTTAATCCTCGTGGACAGGGTGCGCGTCGAACGACCGATGTATTTATATTTTTTTATATTTTTGATTACAGCTTGATTCCACACCGTATTTTAGGTACAAGTATGGAATTTTCAGCATGGATATCGGTAGCCCAAATTTCGCTGGCCGACCATAGATATCAGGTGTGCGTCGGCGTGGGCTCGAACCCCGGACCATGTGCATGGTCGGCGAGAGTCCTAACCACTGTGTCATAGTAGCAAGCAAAGTGATATATGTACATAAAAGTGGTCAGATGCGGGATATTGTCCTTGAAGCTTCTGCAGATCAATGGGCGACTTACTGGAGAACACTATTCTTAGCGTTGCTGCAAAGAATGTTCTCTTCTCAGAGATGATGTGATCCTTCTCTTGAGAATATCGCTTGTTAAATCTGCCTTGAAATCCAAGTTCATGTAGAGTTTCTTTTAAGGCACAAGTGAAGTTTCATTTCTACAATTCTTGGTTTGATATTTTTGTTTATGTATCTTGGTGGGTATCCATTTTGGATGAAGATTTCTCCCAAAAATCTAATCCTGCCACTAGAACATCGGGACTACAGATGCCTCGGATGCAGGTGACAAGTGATTTAATTAAATTCCGATTTTGTTGAATGGGTACCCGGCTATAGAAGCTTGTTAGCTGACCATTCCAAGTAGCTTTCCTATGGATCGTTCTTCGTAGACTCCCATTGTGGTGAGAGCAGGCTGCTAGCCGATTGGTTGGCACTAATCTACGTTAAGGTCTAGGTCACTAATATGGGCCGTGAGAAAATATGAACAAGCCTGAGTCAACAACCAATCACAGCAAAGTTAACGTGGCAGAATATGATTCGCAGAGAGAACTCTATTTGTCAAGGAATCCCGAAACAACCAATCAGAAGCCTGCGTTTGTCTACCTAAACAACCAATCAGATGACTGCGCTTGTCTATAATAATGTAGTTGAAAGATGTATAAATACGTGTTGATTTTCATAATAAAACGATCTGTTGCCTGGCCCTTGTCTTCTGTTGTTACACCATCAGTTCTTCTTGTTAGTTCCACATCAAGAAACGGAATTTTTGATTGGTTTTCCATTTCAAGAGTGAATTTCATTGCTGGATGGTAACAGTTAAATGTTTGCAGCAGTAGATTGGGGTCATTACTGTGGTGACAAATAATGAATATGTTATCTACGTATCTTGTGAACAGTGGTAGATTGTCAATGCATGGCTTTAATGGACCTTTCTCGAGGCTTGCTACGAAGCAGTCTTATAGTAGTGGACCCAACGGAGATCCCATTGCAATATCATCTTTTTCTCTATGGATGGTATCATTGAAAGTGAACTGTACATTCAGAGTGCATCTCACTAGTAGTTCCTTCAAATATGCTTTTGGTACTCTAATATCAAGATGGTTATCATCTATATATTTACATATAAAGTAGACCGTTTCCGTGAGTGAGAGATTGGTGAAAATTGATACAGTGTCGAAGGACAGCATAATTTTGTTAGATACCTTCAGGTCTTGTATGCATTCGATGAATTGGAAGGTGTCGCAGAGCGATGGTGTACATAATTATTTCCTTACAGGTTCCAGAACATCTGCCAGCCATTTTGATTTAATTTGGTTTGAATGAATGACTAAGTGAATGTACCTACCTAGAAACTAGTTATCTAAGTCTAATAAAAGCACTGGATGACACACGGGTTTGAATCTCAGGAATGAGGGAAATTAGCTCTTTGAAGGTTGCAAATACGCCTTGCTCTATGACTGGTTGTTGAGTGAGTGCCAACTAGCACGGAGCCTAGGTGGTGTCGAAGGCTTCCTGTGGCTGGCTGCTTGCCTGCAACCATCTGATACTAACTAAAGTAGATAAAACACAAAATAATTTAGCAAAGAAGAATATCCTTTACGATGATTTTCTCTTCTGGCTCTGCAGTTATATATATGCATGTTTATGTACATAGAATATTTTTAGATTAGTAGTCAATAACAATATTAGTGTTTTTTTAAATAATATCGATTTGTAAAATAAGATCACAATGGAATTACAGTTCATTGAAGATGCTTAAACTGTTATAATCATAATAAAGATATAGTAGCAAATAGAATATCAAGTAAAATTAAGGAAATTTCCACAAAAATTCAGGATCATTTTAACCTAGATGGCCAAGGTAATGATAATGTCTGAACCAACCAGCTTCTTTTGGATGCACAAATTAAGCTTTTTAATATGGATCCCAACAGCCGGCCTCAGCAATTTTTAGTACTCGAACTTTTAAGGAGAAATTGAGATTTGTTGGTTGGTATGTGCTAGATGACTTTGAAAGCCAACTCGTTAACATCAATCTTGTGTTCTGTATCCAAAAGATGAGATTGAATAGCGCTGCGAATAGATTTGGCTTGTCCTTTACTTAGTCACTATGCAGGGTGATGTTCGGAAATTCGACGGGAAACCTGCCTAATTGTATGGCCTATGTAACTGGCTCCACAGGAGCAGTTAAATTGGTAGATACACACACATAGAAGAGACGAAATTAGGCATTTTGTCTTTTACTCCGACCGTAAGAGAGGAGTGGTTTCGGCGACACAGCGTAATTTGGCCTCATTTCTAAGGCGCTGTGTTAGTATCTCGCTGATGTTGTCCCCAAAAATAATCCATCCCTAGTAGTAAACAGTTTTCAACACACTAGTTGATGAAACACTTTTTACTTACTAATGTTAACAGCAGAAGGCAAGACAAGACACGGATACAAAGGCATATTTTCATCAAGTGATCAAACCACTATTTATATATATCTATACAGTTTATTATATTCGTTAACCAGGTGTTAAGTCAATATATAATTGCAGTGGTGCATCGGTGGCATATCGATCAGGACGCTCGCCGACCATGCATGTTGTCCGGGATTTGATCACCAGCCGCCAACGCACTCCTTTACTTCACTAAGCCAGAAATAATGCTGGTAAAGAGGAAAGGTTGGGCATGAGGCTAGCAACCCCATACTGTAAAATTAAATACTGCTACAGAAACTTCAAGCCATTAGCTTGAAGCCCTATGTTCCACTGGGGAACGTGAAGGAAAAAAAAACTTCTGGATATATATAAATATGCACTACTGATTTCCAGTTTCAGATACAAGCGCAGTGTCTTATCTCATTTCCCCCCTTTATTTTTATTATTATTATTACTATTATTATTATAATAACCGGTTTCACAAAACAACACAATGAGTTTCTCAGACTTCTGAAACACCATTACTGTCAATAAGTTAGTTTTACTTACCTTTATTTTGTGATATTTTAATGCGTTATTTTTTTGTTTTGCCGTCAGAAGCATTGTTCTCATACCATTTCTGGATTTTTTTAACACTTTGTCTTTTAAAGCAGATTACAGTCTGATGGTGAAAGGGATCGTTCTAAAGTGTGGTTGACACGTCATATGTTTGGTAAGTTTTGTTTGTTGTTTTTTTCTTGGTTACAGGATTTCATCATGAGCTGACATCAGTCAGAGAACCATTGGGAAACCAGCTGGGAGGAGTACTGAACCGCGGTTTCGTCCTAGTTTGGGACTCTTTATCAGAAGGCACCCACCGGAGTTCGAACCCAGGTGAGCTAGCTTGTAGACAATTAAGCCACCGGGACCTGATCCAATGGCCCATGAATTCTAACTTCTGCTAATTCTCGGCATAGCGCAACCACCAGCCAATGTCATCGGTGGCGAGTATTTGTCCTCACACCTGACCTGCTGCACCCTGCTGGTCACGACTTCCCACTAGAACCCCAGGTAGCTAACTGCCTGCCTGAATAAGGCCAGTCGCCATTGATATTCAAGTATTGGTTTGTAGGGATTTGGTTTGATTGATTGGTTACAGGATTACATCATTATGAGCTGACATTTGTAAGTGAACCAGGGGAAAACCTGGGAGCATTGGACAAAACAACCAATTCAGTCCTCTTGAATAGCAGTGATACATTTTAACCATACTCTGCTTATAAACAAAGGGATTCAGAAGATCGTTTTAAAATAGTTCTACACACACCTGCTCTCCTTGGCCCTGTATTACGATTCATTCGACTACGCAGTCAGAAAGATCATCGATCGGTGATATTTTAGGCAGTTGTTGTCTTATGTTATATCTTTCTTCACTTTAGGAAGGCTTCGTTTAACTTTCCACTGTGAAATAACTTGGCAATGTGACCTGATCACCACTACTTAGCTATTGAATGAGGTTTTTCTAACTGACTGACTGGTTTCAGCATAGAGAACTTTGCACTGATGTACAGCAGTTCAAGTCGCCACACTCCTTGCATGTAGCACACAAAGCAAGAGAAGAAAGTAAAAAGGAAATGCAAAATAGAGACAATTAGCTGAGATATGAGGCAAAAAGAGTAGTAATATGGAAGAACAATTTAGTTTTATTCGATATTATGACTCACAAGGAGTGGATGCATCTGGCCCAGCCGTTGAGAATGATTTTGAGTCATATCACCAATTGTCTCCAGTCTACACTTCCCTACGTGACTGGTTTGAACTAACTGTTGTGGATTTCATTGACTTATGAAACCATCTTTTGATCCGACCATCACGTGCTAGCTCTTTTCCAACCTGATCCATTCTTTGTCAGTCAGTTAACATTACCCGTCGTCGAGGAAAGCGATGGCTAGGCGGGCATGCGTAACACATGTCCTAACCATCTCTCTCATTCGATGTAATTTCACAACCTCGTCTATTTATTTCCCCTCCAACGCACCCAGCACTGGATCCTATACCTAACCTCAATATTCCTCACCCTATTATGCCACCACTTAACACGGAAGATAAAACACAAGTGTACCAATGAGGTTTATCGATCTTTCTGCAACTGCACTCCATAGTGTTGAAGTAGTCGTCAAGCTGCTTCACAATTGACGTTGTTGAAGTTTTTTCTTCTCTTAATTGAAAGAGTTGATGCAAACAAAGGACTGGCATTTTAAGTCCTCTTTAATGATTCATAGTGTTATAATTTGCTCAACGGAAGGTGTATCTTTCTTGAATCCAACTTCTTCCGAGTGAAATCTTACATCCATAGTGTCTTTTTTGACATATTTCCATATTCATGGAAAATTCCCATTGTAACATATCGAAAATCAAAACAAGTGATTGATTCAGCGAAGAGACTCTTTTCAACCATGAATTTATTATCAAGCTGTACAATCGTTGTATATATGGTTGTTTTGCAAGAAATTATATCCAGTGAGGGAATTATCATAGGTGTGAATGCATAAAATAATAACAATAGTAGTATGAAATGCAATTAAAACTAAAATGTTTGCGATTATAATCATAGTTAAGTGTCAGGTGGCAAAACAAATTAATGTCATATATAGTGTAACAACAGAAGACAAGGGCCAGGCAACAGATCGTTTTATTATGAAAATCAACACGTATTTATATATATTTCACATACATTATGATAGCTTATGCAAGCAGACAAACGCAGGCTTCTGATTGGTTGTTTCGAGATTCCTCGAAAAATAGAGTTCTCTATCTGCGAATCATATTTTGCCACGTTAACTTTGCTGTGATTGGTTGTTGAATCAACCTTGTACATATTTCCTCACGGCCTGCCTTCACCACAATAGAATAATTCATAGGATATAAGAACTTGATAGGTGGGGATGTGCAATTACAGGATTAGTAGACAAATAGGTTAAATGGTTCTCGAACTGATGTCAGCTCACAATGATGAAATCCTCCAACAAATCAAACAAAATCCCTTACAAAATCAATACTTGAAAATTGATCTCATACTCCCTATATACTGGCCCTCTCCAGGAAATTACCTGAGGTTCTACTGGGAAGTAGGGTGCAGCAGGTTGAAGGCCATGCAGTAACTCATCGGAGAAGACATTTCGAAATGGTCGTGTTGTGTCATGAATTGGCAGAAGTTAACATTCATGGGTTGGCCATTGAATCAGGTCCCAATGAGTGGCTTGATGGTCTACGAGCTAGCTTGCCAGGCTTGTAACCAGAAGGTCTTGGGTTCGAACCCCGCGGTGTGGGTGGGTGCGTTTTGATCAAGAGTCGCAAACTCGGACAACACAAACAGCTGTCCAGTACTCCTCCCAGCTGGTTTTCGAATGGTTGTCTGACTGATATCAGCTCATGATGAAATTCTTCATCCAATTAAAAAAAATAAAAACTTCACGTTGCATAACAGTACAAAATTTTGATAACGTAGAATTCAACGTTGATTTGGTATGACAAGTGGAACGAGTGAAATAATACCGGGGACAGTGCGTCGGTGAAACAGTGGTTAGGACGCTCGCCGACCATGCACATGCTCCGGAGTTCGATCCCCTGCCGATGCACACCTGATATCAATGGTCGGTCTGAAAAATTTGGGCCACCGATATCACATGCTGAAAATTCCATACTTCTACTGAAAATACGGTGTGGGATAAAGCTATGATAAAAAAAAATGAATAAATAATAGTGACAATTAACGTAATAAAGGAAGAGTATACAAGCTAAATAAAAAAAACGAGGAATAGGTAGGTAGATTAGGGATTATCATGCTTTATCATAGAGGGATTAAGACCATGAAAGTTGGATATGATTTCTTGAAATAAACCACATATATATGTATGTAATGACAGAAGACAAGAGTCAGGCAACAGATCGTTTGCTGAGGTACTTATAGATTTTTATTTACATTACTATTCGTTATTGTTAGCAGAGAAGCAGCAACGTCTTCTGATTGTTTGTCTTTTCGATGATGGTTTAATCTGTCATCTCTTTGTGTCCGTTGCTCAGACAGTCCGGTGATATATATATATATATATATATATATATATATATATATATATATATATCTGCGAATCGTATCCGCCCACGTTAAGTCTGCTGTGATTGTTTGTTGAGTTCCTCAAGGTTAAGCTTTGTTATTGTTTTTTTTTCTCATGACCCCGATTCGGGACGTAAACATTGATGTGAATAAATTGTTGTTTACAATTTTGGCTAGCAGACAGCTCTCACCACTTATATTTACGATTGATAATAAATTCGTTGTTGACATGCTTCTCTTCGCTGAATCATCACTTGTTTTGATTTTCTACATTTCCAAGTACACAAGTGTGAAGTCATCCTTGCACAAAGCCTTGTTCTGCTTCAGAGTTGCCAGTGTTTCCTCAAAGCTTATTTTCTCTTTCGTAGTAGTAGGCTTTTTCACTCTGCAAATTTCTAAATGAAATTTGATACTAAATGCTGGTCATTATGACTTCTGTGAAGGGTCCTTAAGTTTTTGAAACCGAAAAGCATACTTTAACATATCTGAAAACCCCTGTCTTTCGTGAATAATTGCAACTGCAAGATCTGACTGTATCGTTAAGGTTGAATGAGTGTATATCAACAGCTCTGAATTCGAATTATTTATTATTCATTTAAACTTGGTACAATATGACATCAAGAAGATGCGTCACACAATAATAACAATAAAACAACATAGGTTAAAAGAAGCCACAGGTAGGCATGGAATTCAGGCTAAGGCGAAAGGCTGTTCAAGGTGAAGACGTCAAGGTTGGCGAAAGTAAAATGAAGGAGTCTATGTATAAAAATAAAAGTAAGGTTGGAAAGAGATGTGCTCGGTTGGAAGCGAGTGGTTTTCTTTAGGGACTTCCCCACGAGCCTTTGACTTGGAGTCTAATCCGCAAGGCAGCGTCACGAGCTATGTTCCCATGGTTGCCGGTATCCAATATAGGTTCATACGCCATTTGATGCGATTAGATTCTGGCGCCTATGTACCCCATGGTAGGTGCTTTAAGTCTAACCACTATCCAAACAACCTTCCTGACATGGTAGGACCTGCAGGAACATGAGTCTTAACCAGTTTAGCTTGTTGGGGGTCACTACTGTATTCAAGCCCCCCGACCAACACTACCAGTCGGCAGTTGTGGGCCGAGGGGATTATTTATAGACGAATGTATATTTGGCGATAATAACATTGTCTATCAGACTGTTGGTAGTTACTCGAATAACTGTCATTGTCATTTGTGTATGTTTGTACTGTTGCATCTGTTGATAGTTTCTTGGCACTTATCTCTGTGTTGTCACAGTGATCAGTCGTATTGTTATTATTATTTCTTTTAATTCCTAGAGGAACATAGAGCATCGGCTGCACGTTTCCATTGCGTTGGGTTCTCTGCTTAAGTTTTCACCTGTTTGCAAGTCTGCACACATGCTTTCATCTCCTCTTCACATGACCTCCTACAAGTCACCCTTGGACGACCAACTCGCTGCTGCCCTTTCGGGTTCCACTCGAGCAATGGCTTGTCTAGTGATGTCATTTGATGGTTTCCTTAGAGTATGGCCAATCCACCTCCATTTTTTCCTGCATATTTGTTACAGAATCAGTTCCTGGTTGGTTCACTGACAGAGATCCCTGTTGCTGATCTTTTCTGACGGGCCATCTGATCTTCAGTTGTATTGAGCGAATACAGATAGCTGTTGATGAAGGTCTGAAGTTTGTTTTGAGGTGCTCTTTATAACACACCAAGTCTCTGTTCCATATAGGGAGTAGCACTGACTTCACATTGGCGTTGAAATTCCGAATGTTATTTTTGATGCTGAGTGCTTTTGACCTCCACACTGACTTGAGAGCAATGAAGGCTAGCCTTAATTTCCCGATCCTCGCTCTGATATCTTCATCAGTTCCGTCCACCTGTAGTTGAAACGATGCTTCCCAGGTAAGTAGGTAAAGGAGGTTGTTTCTTTCAGGTTCCTCCCATTTATGGTGATTCTTGTCAGTTGTTGTTGGTGCTGTTGTTGGCCAGGAATCTTCATCAACTCTGTTTTATCTATGTTCACCTGAAGTCCTATCTTTGATGCTTCTTCTGCCAGCTTGTTGCTTTTCACTTGCATATCTTCCAGTTTGTGGGAAATCAGACATATATCATCGGCGAAGTCCAGATCCTCTTTTTATGCCTGTTTCCTCGCTGTCCAGCCAACTGTCTGTTGCATTATCCAATCTACCGTTTTCAATCAGTAAAACCATTGGAGATAGTAGGCAGCTAGCCACCTTTTTCTTACTCCCGTCTTCACTTCTTCGAAGGCTTCCGTAAGTTTCCCGTTATGGATTACTTGGTATGCAGCATTGTCGTAACATTTTTAGATAAGATGTTTAATTGTCGGCGGCATCCTTTGGTAGTAACGAAGTAGTTGCCAAATCACCTCTCGATCGACGCTATCGAAGGCCTTTTCAAAGTCGATGAATTTGAACGAGGTAGAGAGCTGACTGTGCCATTCCAAGATCTCTGTTCAATGATGATCCGTAGTGTGGCGATCGTATAAAAAGTTGTAATTAATTGTTGTAGTAACACGTGTTTGTGCTATTCAGTCGCTGGAGATGTAGATCTAGATTTAGGCTCTCCTTCATCTGCTTCAATTTTTCTTTTTTGCAATACGTAGCTAATCTCGTGTGATTGGTATCGTATGGTTTGGTTACGTTTCTCCTTAAATTTTCTATATTACAGTATAAGACATGATTTCTTTGTGTATCCTTTCACAATATAGGCTTGGAAAGGGAGACTGTGCGACAGGAGCATCATCATTTGAGAGACACAGACTATCATTTTGTGTCTAGTGATGCAGAAGAAGACGGCGACGACTATAACATCAATGCAACTAAAAATGTCCCGACTTGGATTCAACCTCATCTATCTTCCAAATATTTGTCTAAGCCAAATTCAGTGCGTAGGGATTCTACTGTGCGCAGATATGCTGTACACATAATGAACAGTCTTCGGAATCTTACTATTCAAATATTGGCTTTCATAATGGTTTGTATTTATGCTGTTGGAAACATATTTATGCATATTATCAGCTGTCTACCACGGGTATATCGTTGGATACTAACGAAGTTCAGTTCTTCATCAAATGATGTGAACAACAGTTCATCAGCGACTGTATCTTCTAATGCAGAGGCAACATGGTATCCTAGCTCGTTAGGATTTAGAAGGTATTATAATAATTATTATTATCATTATTAATTCAATTCATGCTCACCTGATTTCAGCATTTTTGTTGATTTTTTTAAAATGTGAGATGTAAGCTACTGAAATAATAATAAGTAGTATAACGTATTTGCGAAACATTTTCTATATGTCAGTGCAATTTATACATACTGGACTTCGATGACGACCACATTGATTTTCCTAGTCAATACAAAAGACTGCTAGGTTTCCTTACACTTTTGATAGTTTTTTTCAGTTGTGTTTTGTTCAGTCCTACCATCCTAGACCCAAAGTGACTACAATGGTTTGGACAAATTGTTCCCTCAAAAATGCACGTACTTCCATACAGACGACGGTCGATGGTGTTTGATAGTTAAAATTCACGATAAGCAAGTTTATTTTAACTGACGAGGTTCAGAGGTATTTATTTTTGACTTATTTATGCTTGTGATTCCTCTTTAAAGGGTTATCTGCTAGTCTAATGATCTGTAGGAGTTTCAGATTCCACCGCTAGCTAAGTCTGTCTGTCTGTTTTCGACATAGAACTTTGCACAAATGTGCGGAAGTTCAAGTCGCCACACTCCGTGTAGCACGCGAAGCAAGAGAAGAAAGTACAAGAAAAGCATAATAGAGACAGTGAGCAGAGGTGTGAGACAAAGGAAGAGTAATAACGAAGAACAAAACAGTTTCATTGGAGATCATAAGTCACAAGGAGTGGATGCATCTGCGCCACTGAGAACGATTTTGTAAGTATATTGTCATCTCCCTTTATCCGTCCAGGATACTTATATGCAGAAAAGACACCGGCCGATTTGGTTTAAGACAATGAACAGGGAATTACAACTCTAACTATAGGTTCGCTCCGTCCTCCTTGATGGCTGTGAGACATGGCCATTGAGAGCAGAAGGCATGATAAGGTCAGCTAGCTGTCTTTGATCATAGGTGCCTGCGTTCTATCTCCCGTGTTAAGTGAGTGAGCAATATTGAGGTTAGGCATCAGTCGAGTGCTAGTTAGGTAGGAGGGGAAATTCATAGACGAGGCTGTGAAGTTACTTCGAATGAGAGAGATGGTAAGGACATGTGTTACCCATGTCCGCCTAGCTATCGCCTTCCTTGATGGGCAACGTTATCTGATATACAGTCAGGTTGGATAAGAGCTAGTGGTGTTGGTGGTCAAACCAAAACATAGTTTCATCAGTCAATGAAATCCACAACATTTAGCTTAAGCCAACCAGTCACGTAGAAAGGTGTAGACCATGTGACTGGTTGGGGTTGAGTGGCAACGAATGTACAGTAATAAATTCTCATGAGTCATGGCAAGTCTTTAGGCCATTGAGTGAACAATCATTTAGGGAAACTTTTTCGCGGGGATATTTCGGCCTTTATGACAAAGTATGTGTTGTTTTTTCCCCTCTGTAGTAATCTAAGCTTCATTTTTCCTCTATTTCTTTTTTGTTTTTTGTAGTACCCATAAACCGAATTTGTCGTCGTTCACAGTTCCAGATGATCCGTATGCTGAAAGACAACGAAATGATAATGGGAATACATGCCTACACTGGCTATTGCCAGTAATATTTATTCTATTACCCTTGTTGCTAATCTTGAGTATGCTGTTCTCCCCAATTGGTGAGTGTTCAGTAGACGCGTGCTTACAGAGGGATGTGATCAAAACTTGTATTAGTGATGTTTCGTTGATAGTCATTAGAAATAGGACAATAAGTATAATTACTGTATTTAGACAAAGTAGTAAGAAGACGTAATTTGTCTGTCTGAATCGTGTGTGTATTGTGTATTTGTGCGACATATTTCGAACAATCTGATCATACTCCACATACTTGTCATAGCAGTATGTGTATATGAAATTAATAAAGAGTGAAGAGGGCAGGACAGTATTTTAATTATCACACTTTCTGCCCTATTCGGTATAAAAGAGCCTTAGTGAGTGACATGCATCTTCAGTGGAATTCAACGAAAATGCACTCTAGGTACGCTTGATGACGAAGAAAGAAAGTTAACACAAACACACGAGAACAGCAGACGTAGCTCCTCTATTGCGAAACATATTATAGAGACAGGGCATAAAATTGGCATTAACACATCTTTTAAACCTATCTATAACACATGTTTGGGGGTGGGGCGTATTCTAAAGTTTGTGGAATCCCTAGCTGGCAATTAGAAAGTTTAAACCACCTTTATGGGGTCAAATCAACAATTCGTCATCACACTAAAACAACCTTCCTTGGTAAACTTTGTTTTGATACCAGCCATGGTAGATGTACTATTGCCTCTGTTATTTGGTTTAGTTGTCTTCATGAGTTGATCATGGATTGATATCAGTTAGAGAACCATTGAAAACCAGCAGCTCAGGGAGTACTGGACAGCTAGCTGTTTCATCCTAGTTTTGGGAATCATCGGCAGTACGCACCCACACTACGGGGTTCGAACCCAGGACCTTCCGGTTACAAGGCGAGCTAGCTCGTATACCATTCAACCTTACAAACCAAACTATAGAGAATTAATCTGATGCTCGGTAGTAACTTACTACAGGTTTGAGTTTCCTGAGTTCTAGTGAGAAGTCGTGACCAGTGAGGTCCAATTAGATGTCACGTGTGTGGATGGATGTCCCACCAACGACAATGGTTGGGGTCGCGCTAAATCACCAGTTGGTAGAAGTTAGAATTCATGCACTGGCCATTTGAATCGGGTCCCGGTGGCTGAATGGTATAGGAGCTAGCTCGCCTTGTAACCGGAAGGTCCTGGGTTCGAACCCCGTAGTGTGAGTGCGTACTCCCGATGATTCCTGAACTACGATGAAACAGCTTGCTGTCCAGTACTACCTGGTTGGTTTTCAATGGTTCTCCAACTGATATCAATCCGTGATCAACTCGTAAAAACATAACAAACCCTTACAAACCAAACTAAAGAAAATTAGTTGTCTTCATTGTCATTTTGACCTTGAATTTGGCGGCCTTTTAACTTGACCTAAGTAGTCTATTTTCTCACCTCTTACCTCTTTATTAATTTCATATATATTCCTATGACAAGTCCGTGTGTGATGGATCAGATTGCTCGAAATGTGTGTTGTGCAAATACACAATACACAGACGGTTCAGACAGACAAATTACGTCTTCTTATTGCTTTATCTAAATTTATAAAGGGGACTAACTGTTTTAAATTTTAATGTATTTCATAAGCCTGAGGGAAATTGAGAAAAAGTAGAGCCTGCTAGTAGTCATGGTTTCTCTCATCAGACTGTCATTGCTAAAATAACAGATTAGTAGTTATGTGGTATCAAAGTAAATAGTCGTATTTATGTGTGAGACAGACATGCTCTGGGCTGAAATGGATTACCAAAATATTGTAAAACGGGAGACAGTGGTGGTGATTAGTCGTCATAATAGATTTGTAGAATGTGGGGTAGGAAAAACTGACAAGTCAGTTCAAGGTTATAAAAGGTGTCAGGTGAGTGAGTTGCTAGTACAAAGTGATCTGTGTTAAACAGGAGATAGTAAGACTGAAATGAGAGGTTCACAATGAAATAATGAATGTGTGGAATGAAACAGGTGGAGGGATACATTGAGAAAAGAGATAATATCACTACTAATAATAAGTCCGGATAGTATAAGTGGAGAGAATGTTTGCATGAAGGGTATAAATTATGACGAATAATAATAATAATATTTGTAATAATAAGCGAAGGAAAAAAGGCCAAGAAGGTTAAGGGGAAGGAGCACCCTTGGTGAGAAGAAGAATCGTCAATCCGAGTTTGGCCGCGGTAGGAACAATGTCTGAAAGTGTTTTCTTCTTTTTTGGATACAAAGTTCCAGTTTATTCGATCTTATTGCAACAGCTTCAGTTATGTGAAGCGAACTATAGGTGATAACGACTTCGGAACTCGGTTGCGTTCCTAATATTTCTAATATCAATACCCTGAAAATTCACATTAAGGCATTAAAAGTAAAAAAGGATTGGGCGAAGAAATATTTACTGTTCAATTAGATCCTCATCTATAGCTCTACTCTGATTATATATATATATATATATATATATATATATATATATATGCAATTTCGAATGCAATACAGATGTTTACCAATCTTTTGGTGATGTGTGTTTGTTAACAATAATTAATCAATATCAATATGTCAACGGGGGGGGTGATCACTAACCACCAAAAAAGTAATGCAACGATGAGATGGTAGGAATATTTGCACAAAATAAACGAAATGGATTTCGTAATGCAAAATTTTTGAAAAATAAGAGGAATAATTGTTAGTTTTTCATTTTACATTGGTGTAATGCTGGTCAAGATAAAGTACTTGGCGGCCAATCAACCAAAACCTGTTGCTTGTGAGAAACATCGAGGAAGATGGAGATGGATTGGACACACACCTTGAGGAGAATGAATGACATCGCACAATAGGGTAGGCCTTCAAGTGAAACCCGAAATGGCAAAGACGAGTTTGGCTTGCGAAGGTAACATTGATAAATGAGATCGTGTGTGTGAGGAAGAGAGAGGAGAGCAGCCGGGGAGGAAGTCTTGCAGCCAGGTATATAAAATTGCAGAAGACAGAACAGAAATGGGGATGTGCTGTTGTAGTCTTAATAACCTTTTAGGAATCATCAAGGAATAATAAAATTACTTAATTCTAATGAAATCTCATACATGCCTGAAATTATTATTTCATCACTTCTGCCTATGTGTTTGACTTTGATTCGATTGACGGAGATTCTGTGATCAATCTCCATCACCACATGAGATTTCATTGGATTGTGTGTGTGTGTGTGTGTGTGTGTGTGTGTGTGTGTGTGTGTGTGTGTGTGGTTACATGTAAGTGGATGCATAGCAGTGGCCGAATTTTCGGTTCATTATTCAATCTGACGGTATCTACAACTCTAGAATTAGTTAAATTCCCATGTAAGTGTGACCCCTGTCTACTTGTTCGATATATATATATATATATATATATATATATATATACACTTGAGATCTTAGTCATTGCACGTCATTTGATAAAGTTCATTATTTTGTCCATTTCGGTCAATGCGGTCCTTATAACCTCAAAATTTTGCCACATTTGAGTGAGTTTTGGTAAGGATTTAAATGCCACTTTGATTCCTATGTGAGTTTGAAATGTTCCTTTATACTGTAGGATTGTTGAGGTCACTTTTTTCATTTATCACGAACAAGTTGTTATTGATTTAGTTAAACTTTAGTGTCATGAATCATTGCTGTTTGTTTTACCTGTATCCCTGTTTTTGCAGATGGAATCGCAAATAATTCCACTCTCGGAATACTTCCAGTTTTCTCTGATGCCAATTGTACATCCGAGCTTTCTGAACCTAGACCTAATGTTAACCATCTTTGGAGTTTATTCACGTGGAGAGCACGTTGTCTGTACACCCGTTACTTTCTTTCATCTGAGTTAGATGATGATGTCTCTACGGATGGAATAGGTTGGTTACAATGGATGTCATTTTCTACGCCAAGTAAATCTGATGACCGCACACCGATGAGTACAGGTAATTTCCAACTATGTCTTTATATTGTCCTTTCTCTTTATATAAGCCATGTTGAGGGAAAAAACTCTATTTTTGTAGAATCATGGCAAATTTCCTGATGTTCTACCGTTTTTGGGAATAAAATCTTCAGAAGAAAACGCCACATGTAGAGTGAATTTTTTTGGGGGGGAAGTTGTATCAGCACCAACTGACTGATTCGCGACGAAATCTCAGCACGGATCCGAAAAGCTCGAGCTGCTTTCGCCAACTTACACCATCTCTGGCGTAGGCGTGACATCCGGTTATCAACCAAGGGACGTGTGTACTGCTCATCAGTTAGCTCCGTCCCTCTCTATGGCTCTGAAACATGGCCAATACGAGTTGAAGACATGAAAAGGTTGACTGCTTTCGATCATAGATGTCTGCGATCTCTGTCTGACGTTAGGTGGTATAACAAGCTAGTAAGTAATGTTGACGTTAGGCATAGAGTGTTGGGCAAAGAGGGAAAATCAATCGACGAGGCTATAAAGTTACATAGATTGAGATGGCTAGGTCACGTGTTGCGCATGCCTAACCATCGCCTCCCCCGACGGGCATTACTAGCTGATATAGGTTCAGGTTGGAAAAGAGTAAGTGGTGGCCAAACAAACAATAACATGGCGTCAATCCATGAAATCCTTGACAGTAAAACTGGGTCAGGTAGGTAGGGAGATGCAGACTTCGGGGTTGGGGGCCTCGGGACTCTAAGAATCAATGGCTGGAGACAATAGGCAACATAGTTCAAAATCGTTGTCCAATGGCTAGCGCAGATATAGTATACAGTCTCTGTAATCTTTCATATGTCTTTCTACCATTACCCATTCTGTTTCACTCTTATACTTGTCAAACTCTATTGATTCTCTTCACTCATCTTCTTGTCTACCTCTGTGTGCTATTTGGAACGTGTCAACTCGAAGTGGTGCACTTCGGTGACAAGTTCTATGTTGAATCCAGACAGAGACAGACAGAATTGAGTTCAGATACCAGTGCATTACAGTCAGATGTGTAGTGCGTTAAAAATGTATAGTCACAGAAAACTCATCGTGTTATATTTCTATGTTTAATATTATTATTATGATTATTGCTGCGTCACTTCACTGTATCAGTCATCTGTCTATAGTAGTTATAAGCGATATGGTTACCATATTGACTGATTGTACCCCTCCCTAACTCTGGAATACTTTCATTTGTTTTATATGAGCAAAAACTGTTGGCATTATTGACAGTCATATTCGCTACTACTACCACTACCTTGTATTGGTAACTGTTCGGGAATACAGGTTGTTACCGGGTTTCACTCAACCTCTTGCAGTATTTTTATCATTGAGCATGATTGATTGGGAATTTCTCCGCTTTTGTTTCACTTCTGTTTCAAACTTGTTGTCGAAGCCAGTTAATCAAGATTAGTCAATCGCATACAAGCACTTGAAATAGTTCACACGTGTACAGAAGTGTGTATAGCCTACTGTCACCTATGGCTTACTGATTGTCACGGATATAGGGTCAGGCTGGAAAAAAACTAGCGGAGGTCAAACCAAAACATGGCACCAGTCTATGAAATCTAAAACAGTTAGTCTAAGCCACGTAGGAAGGTGTAGACTTCCTGACCGGTTGGGGTCCTCGGGACGGTAAAAACCAATGGTTGGAAACAATTGGTGACATGGCTCAAAATCGTTCTCAGTGGCGCAGATGCATCCACTCCTTGTGACTTTTGATTTCCAATGAAACTGTTTTGTTCTTCGTTATTACTCTTCCTTTGTCTCACACCTCTGCTCACTGTTTCTATTATGCTTTTCTTGTACCTTCTTCTCTTGCTTTGTGTGGTACATGGAGGGAGTGTGGCGACTTGAACTGACGCACATATGTGCAAAGTTCTATGTCGAAAACAGACAAACAGATTGTCACGAACTGGAGCTACCAGTAGATTGTAAGGAGTGAGAAGATGGTAGTGCGTTTTGGACCGACGAAAGACCCAAAAAGATCTGTATTTCACGAGTGATCGATATATTTTCATGTGGAGAAATTTGAAGATTTACAAGTGAAAGGCAACAAATTAACAAAAGAGGCGGTCAACACACGATTTCAGGTGAATATAGAGAGAGAAGAAAATCGACCAACGACAAGCATCAGTCACATTCTTCAGTGTGCGAAACCTGAAGGAAGTTATCGCCTTCACTTACATGGGAAAGCATCATTTCATCTTCAGTTGTAGCACGTACGAAGATGTGAAATTAGGTTAAAACAGGGGAAAGTAAACTGGGCATTCATGTTTTTAAAAATTCAGTCTGGGGGTCTATAGCACTCAGAACAGAGAAGAAGACCCTAATACTTTTTAACTATCATGTCAAGTAATTTAGCGCTTTTATATGGTTGGCAAACTTTATTCATCTAAAACGTTCACAAATGGTTGCTACAGTCTCTGAAACGACCTATTAAGCCTTTTTTTACCATCGTTGAGGCCATTATCTGTTTTTTTAAAGTGTACGAAGAGCGACTTTTCGATTTTTGCACTAACTTAATGGATGAACGATTTCATCATGAGCTGACATCAGTCACTTACTTTTACTTTACTTTACTTCGGCTATCTCCTACGGGAGGATGAGCCGACTTCATGAACATCTCGAATCATCGCTGCCCAGGCGCGGCGATCTGATGCAAGGTTTTGCGACAGGGTTATCCAATTCTTGTTCCACAGACGGAGTCCGTAGACGGTTTGTAGCCCCAGACACTCCATATCAGCCTTGACTGTACCAAGCCATGTTTTCAGCCGTCCACCCCTGGTGAGAGTTGTTTGTAAGAGAGTTCATGAAGTTTCATGGGAATTAGGTACGAGTGATGTCCCCAGCATCAGTCAGAGAACCACTGGAGAACCTTGGAGTTCTGGACAACTGTTTCGTCATAGTGTGGGACTCCTCATCAGTACGCACCTCCCGGGGTTCGAACCCGGGATCTTCTGGTTACAAGGCGAGCTCGTTGACCATTGAGCCACTCAGTTACTGCCTCATCTTTCAGTAGGGTACAGCAGGTTGAAGACGAGGCAGTAACTCACTCATCGAAGAAGACATTGCGAAATGGTCGTGCTATGTCGTGAATTGGGATAAGTTAGCATTCATGGGTTTGCCATTGAGTCGGGTTCCAATGGCTCAATGGTCTACGAGCTCGCCTGGTAACCAGAAGGTCCCGAGTTCGACCCGGGGTGAGTGCGTACTGCCGAAGAATCCCAATCTAGGACAAACATCTGTCCAGTACTCCCAGATTTTCCCATTGTTCTCTAACTGATATCAACTCATGATGAAATCCTCCATCCAATCAAACAAAATCCCTACAAAACTATTACCTGAAAACCAACTTGATGACATTAAAACATTTAAGTTGGTTAATTAGCAATTAAAACAAATTAGTCACTTTGATAAATTTGAATAAGGCATTCAAAAGAGAAATATTATTGTGAGATGATATCGGCGTTTCGTAGTTTCTCTACCGTTGTTGTACAACTGACATGATTCACAATAATTATAAAATAAAAAGCAAGATAATTTACAACGAGACATATAATCGAACAATATTGCTGTTTTCAATTAGATCTTCATCAGGCTTTACTCTAATTTACACAGATTTATATATAAAAAATTTTAACCAATGACGGTGATTTTGTGGATCAAATAATAATAATAATAATAATAATAATAATAATAATATAGTAAATAATTGGTGGATGGTGGCTAGCAGTGGAATCCAGGATGCGCATTTCGTCCTATCTGGGACTCGTTGGTGGCTGGATGTACCTGCATTTCTCAGTGAGTGATGATGTTCCCACTGAGACTCAAATCCAGTGCCCATAGTTTCAAACGCCAAAGCGTTATTCACTAGACCACTTGGGCCACGAGAGCTTTGGCGTCTGAAACTATGAGCACTGGGTTTGAGCCTCAGTGGGAACATCATCACTCACTGAGAAATGCAGGTACATCCAGCCACCAACGAGTCCCAGATAGGATGAAATGCGCATCCTAGATTCCACTACTGGCCACCATCCACCAATTGTATACTAATTAAGTGCCCAGACATCGTCGAAGCATCTGCACAAGAAGCCGACATGTCAACCTGAGACCGAGCACTTCGGTCCAAACAATCGACGGGAAAATCAAAAATTCAATTCAATATGGTAAATGTTTTGAGCGCCAGTGATAATGATGATTATAATGATAACAAAATATTGATGATGAGGTTTATGCATGTGGAGATAAGAATGACAAAGGTAAGGTACTAATTATGTGTGTATGTTCAGGTAGGGAGATGCAGACTTCCGGGTTGGGGCCTTCGGGACTCTAAGAATCAATGGCTGGAGACAATAGGCAACATAGTTCAAAATCGTTGTCCAATGGCTAGCGCAGATATAGTATACAGTCTCTGTAATCTTTCATATGTCTTTCTACCATTACCCATTCTGTTTCACTCTTATACTTGTCAAACTCTATTGATTCTCTTCACTCATCTTCTTGTCTACCTCTGTGTGCTATTTGGAACGTGTCAACTCGAAGTGGTGCACTTCGGTGACAAGTTCTATGTTGAATCCAGACAGACAGAAATATATGTGTATATGTAGACAATTCAATAAACAAAGAAATAAATTAGGTGAAATCTAAAAAGTTACGTAATACTAAGGGTAGGTTAAGTGGACAAATAATCAGACTTTAAACATCAGATATCAAAAAGGACGAAGGGAATGGAAAACAAGAAGGGGTGGGAGGGTTCTAATTAGAATTTACCTAAGCCAAGCAAGGCAGAGACAAAGGTAGTTCAAACTAGGACTGTTCTCTGGAATTAATTCCCATAGCTTCGGCTGTGTGTATAAAAGGTGGATTCGAATTCCATTTGATAGGATCGATGGATTTCGATAAATAACCTTGAAGTCAGACACACACTACTTCTGTCCACCTGGTGACGACTACCGTCAATAAAATGAGTCAAATAGAACTTCTTATAGATTTTATTTGGCCTTTCCCATTTGAACAATGAAGGAAGATGGTCATTGATACGTTTGTCTAATTGTTCACCCTATATAGTCAGTTTTCTCCTTATTTCTTCTTCTTATTATTGTTCCCTTGGGTTCCTAGTGGAACATAGGGCTTCAACTGCACGTTTCCACTTGCTTCTGTCTGTCTTCTGCTGTACTTTTCACCTCCATCCATGTTAGTTAGTCCATACTCTTTCAACTCCTCTTCACACGATCACCTCCATCTCACCCTTGCACTGACGACCAACTCGCCACTTCCCATTCTGTCGGGTTCCATTCGATCAATGGCTTGAGGCGCGCGCGATGTCACCCAGCGGCCTCCCCAGCGAGTGTCCAATCTATCTCCATATCCATCTCCTCCATATTTGTTGGTTGGCGATTGGTTCTTGTTTTGTTTGTTCCCATAGTTCCTTGTTGGTGATTCTTTCCGGTCCGGCCATCTGATCTTCAGTATAGACCCAGCGAAGACAGTTGTTGATAAAGGCAACGTCTGCAACAGACTGTTGGAAATATTCTTTGTGACCCTCCCGCCAAGTTTCTGATCCGTATAAAAGAACTGACTGACTTGACGTTTGTATTTAAAACCCGATCGAATTTTGTTGTTGATGCTGAGTGACGAAGATTTTCAGATTGATGAATGTGTTTCTCGCCTTCCCGGTTCTCGCTCGATTTGACATCCTCGTCCGTTCCGACTTTCTGTAGTTGAAACAATGCTCCCTAGATAAGTGAATGAAGTAACCTCTTTCAAATCCCTTCTGTTGATGGTGATCGGGGCTGGATGTTGTCGTTGTTGGTTAGTTATTTTCATAACCTCCGTCTTTTCTATGTTCACCTGGAGTCCTGTCTTCGTCGGCTGCTTCTTCGACCAGTTTGTCGGTTTTTGCTTATAAGTCTTCGATTTTGTGTGACATCAAACATAAATCATCGCCACGCAAAATCCAGGTCTTCTAGGATCTCCACGTCGGTCGAGGATGGCTCTGTCTTCTCGTTTCGCACTGTGTGACACAGAATCCAGTCCACCACAATTAGGAATATCATTGTGGGTGATAATGAGCACCCTTGTCTGACTCCTGTGTTTACTCCAAACGCCTCGCTGAGTTTTCCGTTGTGGATCACCTGACATGTGCCGTTGTCGTACAGCTGTTGAATAAGGTTGGTGAATATTTGGGGTACGCCGTAGTACTCGAGTAATTTCCAAATTACTTCGCGGTCAACGCTGTCTGTCGAAGGCCCTCTCAATGTCTATAAAGTTGAGGCGGAGGTTCCTCCTTAGGAGCAGTTAAATTTGTAGATACACAAAGAAGTGGCACAGCTATGTAGGTAGCTTGTCTTTCGCTTATCGCCACGTGCTTAAACCTTATTATCATCCATTGGTTGTCATTATAATCATTGTTATTACTGATGTTCAAAATATTTAACACATTATTACTACTATTACTATCATTATTATTATTATTATTATATGATTCACAAACGGTCATTGTTTAAACTTCGTCTATGTAAATCTGTGTAAATTAAAATAAAACCTGAAGAGGATCCAGTTGAAAAGAGGAATATTGTTCGCTTATATGTCTTCTTCTAATATTATTAGTGGGAATATTTGAATGCATGACGATTACTCGGTTAAATAAAAAAAACAAAAGTACATACTAATGACCAATCATAATTAAATAGGTCAAGTAGTCAGTTCATGATAGGCGAAAGTTGAAGTCTAATGTTTTTTGCACACATAATTTGGGATGTATGTGATTAATCCCTCTAAAGTGCTTCCATCATCACCTCTAATAACCAACCTAGAATTAGAGTTATGTGATGGAATAATTGTGAAACAGTCATTAATAATGATTTTGTGACCTTGCACTAATAAGTACTTTGCAATGGATGATGATGCTGGATTTCTATTCAGATTAATCGTATTGGGATTTAGTATATGTATATTAATAACCATTTTGGAACATGTTCTTTTCGACGACAACATTGGAACATTCTGTTGGTTCTGCCCATATAAGTGTCACCGCAGCAACTGCCGGTGAACTTGTAGATACAGTTTGAGGTAGAGTCTACAGAATTTCGTCCTTTAATCGTAGGTTGGAACAGAGATCGAAAATGTTCTAGATGTGAAGGAAGAAATACGGCTGATGGCTTGCCGAAGGGTCATTGACCTGTCAACTGCACAATATTTGATCAACCTTGAATGGTAGGTGATGGGACAATAAAAATAAGTTTATTTGGTACAGAAGCTGTCATTTCTAGATGTGGTCTATCCTTACTGTGACAATTGATAAAGTAAGTTTTCTAGATAACCATTAGTTAATAAAACTGAATGTTGCATATGTCGAAGTTCATCCATCAATGTATCACTCGTGCATATTTTGCAGGCCCTTAAAAACGAACATTTCACTAGAGAGAATGTTTAGAATGTTTGCATAGGTACAGTTTTGTTCTAATCATCTCGCAAAATTTGTCTCCTGTGAATGCCTTATTCTAATTATTTGAAATTTGAAGTACACGTATATTTCTGATACTTTCCTCTTAACGTACATTGTATTTCTAATTTTAGATTTTGGAAAAGTCAATTTCAACGAAGTGGCGGCGAAAGAACTCATGGAACGGTTCACTGCCTTCTCACAATCAGTTAACAAACGTTTAGATGAACTATCACAGTAATTCATTTTATAATTAGCCAAAAAATTTTTAACTGATTAAAAATACCCATTAAAATTTTTCAAAAGAATAGATACTGAACAAAGTGTACTGTTTTCGATAACCCCTTCATCATCATCAGGCTCTACAGTTATATATCCATCCATTATAGTGAATGAATGAATGAATCAGTGTGATGAATAACATTGATGCTGTTTAGATAACATCAAATCAATAATATTGATAAATTACAGCTGAATAGCACCAACATAAAATAAGCTGAATGTCAGAAGAATTAGGAAAGATAATATTACAAACTACACATATTATTCTCTACACGACCGATGGTGATTCCTCGACTGAAAGATGAAGTACCCAGACTAGCTAGCCACTTTTAATTGTATCTATCAATTCAACTGCGCTTGTAGAGCGAGTTATATTGTCCGTTGCTCTGGGAACTTGATTTTTCATGCTCACTTAAGAACATTTCCCACTATGGCTAAGTAAAGGTGTATAGTGAAAACCATCAACATTTCGATATTACACCACCTGGCCCAAAACCCACCGGCCACAAAGCTAACATTGAAGAATCCTTCTCTATATTATATACCGGATGCCAAAAACATCGAAGTACCACAGGCTCCAAACAGCAGAGGCTATTGCGATTCGCCTCAAACAACCAGCGCTCGGTATCCAAAAGAAGTAAGTCCAGCTAGTCACTACTACTGCCCTGACCGGCCTTCAGTAGAAACTATAAACTCATGAATTTGTAATATTATCCCTCCTAATTCTTCTGACATTCAGCTTATTTTGTGTTGATGCTATTGAACTGTAATCTATCAATATTATTGATTTGATGTTATCTAAACAGCATTAATGTTGTTCATCACACTGATTCATTCATTCACTATAATGGATGGATATATAACTGTAGAGCCTGATGATGCAAGGGTTATCGAAAAGAGTACTCTTTGTTCAGTATTCATTCTTTTGAAAAAAATTTTTGTCTGTTGGCCTTTTTTTGTGTGTTAACAGATTTTAGGGTTTAGTAGGAGTGTGAGTGCTTTCGTTTTTTTTTCCGGATTACTTCGGTTTCACTGAAGAGTAGTAGTAGTCGACATTGTTGATAACATTTCACATCATGACCACATAACCATGACGATAGAAGTGTAACGACAGTAGACAACAAGTGCCCAGGCAGGCAACAGATCGTTTATTTGAGAAAATCAAGAGATATACATATATATATAGAGAGAGTTTGCATACGTTAAGTCTGCTGTGATTGGTTGGTGAGTTAGTTCTACAAGGTTAAACTTTGTTATGGTTTTTTTTTCTCATGATCGTAATTCGAGACGTGTAAATTGTTATCCCTTCAATTTTGGCTTGCAGACAACTCTGATCACAGAAGGAATTCTTATGATGAATTCCCGTAACCAATCAAATCCCTACAAACCAACACTTGAATATCAATGAGATGCTCACTACCGACTGGTCCTATTCAGGTAGGTAGTTACCTGGGGTTCTAGTGAGAATTCGTGACCAGTAGGGTGCAGCAGGTTGGGTGTGAGGACAAGTACTCGCCGAAGACATTGGCTAGTGGTTGCGCTATATCGTGAATTGACAGAGGTTAGAATTCGTAGGCCATTGGGGTGGGTCCCAGTGGCTTAATGGTCTATAACCTAGCTCGCCTTGTAACCACTTGTATTATGACTTAGGTTATGACCTAGTAGACGCTGAGCGAATACTAACTTCAATGCTCTGGCTAATCTGCCCTAGTTGCACGTTAACAACAACAACAACAACATCACTGGGAGGCCACCAAGGCGGTAGGAAAATACTATACTTTGGGGCAAAGTTCAATAATAGCGTCCTAGGAGTGCAAACGCATGCGTGACCTTCAGCTGACCAATCAGAAAAATGAAAAATGTTTGCTCAAAAAATGATGTATATTGACAAGAAATTACTTGAAAACGCTTTAAACAAGTTGTATCTTTCTTTGATATGGCTCAAAAATACGTCCTAGTTATAACGAGGAGTATATCAGTTGCTGAATTCGACTAGTTTTTGTACATGTGTATTCACCGAGATGACTGCAGATAAACCGATATTTTGTGAATCGTTTATCTTTCTCATCCTGCTTGCAGTCTTCCACAAAAGTTCTCGGTTGAATTATTATTATTATGGTTTCCAGCAAGAATACAAACGACTGTTTACCAGGAAAACGTGGATAATAAAACAAATTAAAATAAATTACATCAACTATAAATCTATCCCCCAAACCTTAATCCTAATCATAATTATAACCCTAACGAGCTATTAACACATTGTCCAAATAGTACTTAAAAACGTGATGTGAGTGAAATTTGCTCCTAAGTTGTTGTGAATAACGTTAATATTTCAGCTATAATAATAACAGAAGCCGTTTGCCAACGATTTTAATGCGTTCAAGGTGGTCATTGGAGCGTTCACACTCCTGGGTCGCTATTGTTGAACTTCTCCAACTCTAGGAATGGAGCTTTTACTGTTCCGAAGCTACAGTCAAAAAGGGCTGACATAGGTTATTGTTATTATTATCTCCTTTAATTCCTAGAGGAACATAAGGCTTCAGTCGTGCGTCTCCATTGCCTTCGGTTTTCTACCAACTTTTTCTCCCCGCTCCAGGTCTGCCCACATGCTTTATCTCCTCTTCACATGACCTCCTCCAAGTTACCCTCGCACTGACGACCAACTCGCCGCTTCCCTTTCGAGTTCCACTCGAGCAATGGCTCGTCTAGTGATGTCACTTGATGGTTTCCTCAGAGTATGGCCAATCCATCTCCATTTCTTCCTGACTATTTGTTTCACAATCGGTTCCTGGTTGGTTCGCTCCCAGAGACCCCTCACTATTGCTGATCTTTTCTGGTCGGCCATCTGATGTTGAGTATTGAGCGAAGACAGCTGTTAATGAAGGTCTGAAGTTTGTTTGAGATGCTCTTTATGACTCGCCAAGTCTCTGATCCGTATAGTAAGTGGTACTGACTTCACATTGGAGTTGAAAATCTGAATCCAATTTTTGATGCTGAGTTCTGTCGACTTCCATACAGACTTGAGAGTAATGAAAGCTTGTCTTGCTTTTCCGATTCTGGCTTTGATATCCTCGTCAGTTCCTCCTGTAGTTGAAACGATGCTTCCCAGGTAGAGATTGCGTATATATATATATATATATATATATATATATATATATATATATATATAACCATTTCAGGTAGTCAATGGCAGCTGATGAGAACCTGTGAAATAGAATGATGATATCACATTTTATACTGCAAATTTCATCTTCCTTTCTTTTTACGAAATTTATCAAGGGAACCAATTTTGTCTGAAATCAAGAGTTTGTTGCTGTGAGAACGTGTAAAACAGTGACTTTCTGTTTTGGCGCTTTAATTTTCTTTAATCTACTGCATCGTTTTTTTTTTGGTTTTCTCTTCTCCATCACAGAACAGTAAAAGCGAATGCATATGAAGTTGTCAATTTAAGACAAGAATCCTTTACGAAATCTAATGTGCTTGATTTACAAATTAATGAAATGCGAAATGCCTTTAATCAGCATTTAAATGATTGGCGTCAATTTTATGGAAGATATGAACAGGTGCATAGTGAGGACAACAGCAAGAGCAACAACGATGATAAGAAGACGATGTCTGATGTTATTCATCACACTGAATTATTATTTCTTCAAGAAAGAGAACGTCTCCTGCAGACTATCAATGAAGCAGTCAATCATACAATTGAAGAACATTGGAATGCTCTGAGGCGCGAAATTATTCAAGATCGTTTGCATTCTAACAATATCAGCTTGAATAATATGTCAATGTTTTTGAACAGTTTACACGATCAGCTGCATTTCCGTAGTAGGCAAGCTCAGTCTGAGGTGAGTGGATGAACTTTCTTTTTTTTTTTTACTTATGTATTATTATTATTACTATAGCTTGATTCCACACAGTATTTTGGGTGGGTACAAGTATATAGAATTTTCAGCATATGAGGAGATATGGGTAGCTCAAATTCAACAGGCCATGTGCGTCGGTGGCACAGTGGTTAGGACTCTTGGCGACCATGCACATGGTTCAGGGTTCGATCCCCTGCCGACACACACCTGATATCTATGGTTGGCCTGCAAAATTTGGGCTACTTATATCACATGCTGAAAATTTCACACTTGTACCAAAATACGGTGTGGAATCAAGCTGTGATCAAAAAATCTAGTGTACGTCGGTCGTGAGGTGGGAGGGGGTCGAAACCCGGACTAACTATGCATTGTATGGTCGGCGAGCGTCCTTACCGCTGTGCTACCGATGCTGTTGAATAAAAATACACATTTTCTGTTTGACACAAAGTAATGCAATTCTGCATTGAGTAGACTTTCTACCAGTCAGGATAAAGGAAACATTTGTGTAGAGTGAGAAGGTCAATAAATCTTCGTTGTGCCTTTAATGTCCAGTTCAAGTTTAACAACACAACCTACTATCGATAGTTTTCATATTGTACCAAAGATACATGGGTGATACTTTCTTCGTATGTGTCCCGAGAATACTGACATCGAAATGATAATGAAGGAGTTCAACATCTGTCATCATGCCATATAATTCACGTTGGAATCAGAGATGAACTCGAAATTCCATTGCCACAATCGATAAATGATAAATGAATGTGTGAAGGATAAACTACCACTTTGGACCACTCCACCACTGTGTGTGTTTCTAAAATTCACATGCGCACACTTTCCAAACACATCTCTGCAAATCCTCTGGCATGATTAAGAAGACGGCAATGTAAGACAGTTACTAGGTCAATTCTCGAGCTGTTTGTTGGTTAACTCAAACTACGTAGCTCCACCAGAGTCGTCTTTCAAGATTATCTACAAGGTGAGGCCAAATAGTACAAAGTCGGCGTCAGATTTCGGTATAATTCGTGTGTGGCGGAGGCTCTGGCAATTCGTCAATACAATCCCGAACTCTGTATACAGAAAGAGTTTGTCCACTCTCTTATTCTACCATGGTCTTAACTGGTCGTTCCCTGTGAAAAATTTTATTTATTTAATTTTCAATTTTTTCTTTTAATCTGGTTTTACTTGAATAATTAATTCACTATTATCACTGTCATATGTTCCGTTTGTACATTTTCACACCCTCTTCACACCTGTGAAGTTGAGTAATTATCTCTTATTATGTCTTTCCTACTCAACCTTCCAGATTATTACAGATTGTAATTTTTAATTTGACCTTTGACCTGAAATATTTCTAGAATAGTACCACTACCTATCCTCTGTTTATTTCACTTTGTAATTGGTCGATGTTAGAATTCATGGGCCATTGAATCGGGTTCCAGTGGCTTAATGATCTACGAGCCCACCAGCCTTGTAACCAGAAGATCCTGGGTTCGAACCCTGTAGTGTGGATGTGTACTGCTGAAGAGTCCCAAACTAGGCTGAGGAAACAACTGGCTGTCCAGTACTCTCTGCTGGTTCTCCAATGGTTGTCTAACTGATATCAATCCGTGATCAACTCGGAAAAAATAAATCTAATCCTTACAAACCAACTTTGTAATTTGATTAATTTTACCGTTGATCGGAAATAATTCTGGAACTTTCTCTCTCTCACACACACACATACACTAACTATAAATACACGAATATACAGCCTCTTAGTTGACGGTAACTTCATCGAAAAGAAAATTTTCTTCCTGACTCAATGGGGGGGGGGTATTTTTGGTGATTTACGGAGCCATCATAAGTTCGAAAAATAATTGTAGAAGAACGACAACTTGAAATGTTTTAATGCATTGAATCTCTCTCTATTTGACAAACTTCTTGTGCTAAGTATCTTTCCACTAATGAATGGTATACTGAATTCTCGACCGTAAATGTGAATTATGAATCGATTATAGAAAGTGTATCTCGAACGCAGACTTCTGCACAGAATTCTTCGCGGCAGTGTAAGTTTGAACACTTCCAGGAAGTGTATATATTATAGGTATTTTTTTTAATTTTATTAATTTTGATTATAGCTCGATTTCACACCTTATTTTTAGTACAAGTATGGAATTGTCACCATGTGATATGGGTAGCGCAATTTCTGCAAGCCGACCATTGATACCAGGTGTGTGTGTGTGTGTGTTGGCAGGGAATCGAGTCTCGGAGCATGCTAGGCGAAAGTCCTAACCTAACCACTGTATCTACATGAAAAGCAATGGGAACTTAATGATTCTGAAAGATCAAACGTTGAAGATGGCATGAATTCATGTCATGTTTTTGGTTTAATTAGTCCTAATACGTTCCCCGGCATAAGGTTGCTATATCAGCGCTAGCATTGCATTGCTCGTCGAGTGGGGGGCAGGCAGACATGGCAGAAGACACACACATACCCTGGCCATCTTATTTGATGAAATTTCACAATCTTATCGGTTGCCCTTTGTTCTTTTTTTCTATCGAACCTTATTATTACTGTGACTCTATATTAAATAAGTTTATTTGGATAGTGTTATTAGAGGACGCAGATTATCTAAAAACTGTGGGATGTATTTGCGCTATACACATTTCGAACAATCTGATCCCGCACACATTTACTTGTCAAGTCGATATATATACGAAAAAGTTAAATTAAACAAAATGACAAAAAAAGGATTTAAGTATGATTAACACAACGTTTGGTAATCCAATCAAATAAGAATTACCAAGGTAATAAGTTAAGAGTAATAATAAGCTGTTTTTCAATTCACAAGGGGTGGGGGAGTGGGGTAAGTTTATGAATAGCTATAGCCTCAGCGTATTTCAGTGACCGCCATTGACCGTTTAGATAGATGACCTTAAAGGCTGAGTTAACATCAATCTTATGGTTCATCTCGATTAGGTGTTTAGCTATAGACGAAGTTGGTAGTCTGACACCTGTATCTATTGGCTTGTCATAATTCATTTATGACCACACAAACACACACACGTCTTCTAATAACGCTATCCAAATTTATAAAAGGGACTAATTGTTTTGAAATAAGATTTAAAACAATTAGTTCCCTTTATGAATTTAGATAAAGCAATAAGAAGACGTAATTTGTCTGTCTGAATCGTCTGTGTATTGTGTATTTGCACAACACACATTTCGAGCAATCTGATCACACACGGACTTGTCATAGGAATATATATGAAATTAATAAAGAGGTAAGAGGTGAGAAAAATAGACTACTTAGGTCAAGTTAAAAAGCCGCCAAATTGAAGGTGAAAATAACGATGAAGACCACTAAACCAAATAGCAGAGGTAATAGTACATCTGCTATGGTATCAAAACAAAATTTACCAAGAAAGGTTTAATGTGATGACAAATTGTTTTTGGACGCATAAAGGTGGCTTGAACTTTCTACTTGCCAGCTTGGGCTTCCACAAACTTTAGGATACGCCTCAAACACGTTTTATAGATAGATAGGTTTAAAAGATCTGTTAACATCAATTTTTATGACCTGTCTCTATAATATGTTTCGCAATAGGAGAGCTAGGTCTCATTCAAATTGGTAAATTTTGTTTTGATACCATAGCAGATGTACTATTACCTCTGCTATTTGGTTTAGTGGTCTTCATTGTCATTTTCACCTTCAATTTGGCGGCCTTTTAACTTGACCTAAGTAGTCTATTTTTCTCACCTCTTACCTCTTTATTAATTTCATATATATTCCTATTACAAGTCCGAGTGTGATGGATCAGATTGTTCGAAATGTGTTGTGGGCGCAAATACACAATACACGATTCAGACAAATTACGTCTTCTTATTGCTTTATCTAAAATAAGATTATTTTAATTATCACACACAGTGATAATGATGCAGTATCAACAACTGGATGACAAGTTGGTTTCGAGCATAAATTATTACCACTCATAAACACATCAATTTAGTTACTCTTTCTGTCTCTTCAACTTCCCTTTGTTGTTTGTTGCCATTTTCCATATCTTCAGTACAGGCAGACGTGGCGTCATTCTGTTGCACGTGTGCGCGGTGTGTGAAACGATGAACAGAGCTTCACTCAGTGATTCACCTGTCTGTCTCTCTCTAGCAGCAGACTATATTACTTGTCAATACTCTCTCACCCTGTCCCACTCACCTTATTTTGTGACTGCATGCAAATAAATGCAATGTCTGACCTCTAGTTTTTCTAGGTTATTTAACTCACTCAGCAGGGTCAATTATTCTACGTCTAGCTTCTGTTCCAATAATCTAGTTGACCCTGATCTACTACTATTACTACTACTAGTTTGACCGACCTGTTTAATTGACCTCACTCATAGTCATTACATCATCGTATTTAGTAAATTATACTATTGTTCTCCTAAATATTTCCAATTGTGCATCGGTGGCACAGCGGTTAAGACGCTCGCTGACCATGCACATGGTCCGGGGTTCGAGCCCCGGCCGGCGCACACCTTTACCTTGCTAAGCCAGTAGTGAGACTGGCAAGGAGGAAAGGTTGGGCATGAGGTGGCTAGCAACCCCATTCTGTAAAAAATCAACACTGCTACGGAATCTTCAAGCCTATAGCTTGGAGCCCTATGTTCCACTGGGAACGTGAAGGAAAAAAAAATTTCCCATTAACATTATGCCCCATAAGAGGGGGCTTAGATGAGAAACTAGAGGAAATTCAATTACAAAAAGGTGAAAAAGAGTGATTAGTTTTGACATAACCAGTTTATATATTAGTATTCCGATTATTATTATTATAGCTTTGGAGGCAGTTCAGAATGAACTGAACATTGATGCTGAACTTAAAAAAATGAGACTAAGCTGTCGAACGGTTGATGAAATAAAATTAGGTGTTCAGTTATGTGTCTAATCTCCACTGTATTTAAATTTCAAAATAAACTATATAAACAAACGTATCACCTAGCATTTACCAGCATGGTTTTACAAAGGAGAAAATCGATGCAGCCGAAGCTCCATCTAAGAACATTTGATAGATTTCGGACAGCGAGCTACACCGCAAACAAACTTCAAAGTCGTCTACAGAGTAAGAAGTAGTCTTCCTAAAAGTGTACAAATTAGACTTCTTCAAACTGCAGAAGCAATGGCGATTCACTTGCTAAGTCCTGAGCTCTGCATACAGAAGAAGTTCGTTGAGTCACTACACTCCCTATGGACGTAATCTGTCTTAATACCCGACTGGTATTTTCAATTGTACTATTTTATACTTCCAACTTTCTTGTTCTTTAACCCCACCCAATTTAATTTCTACACTTGATTACCACTGTTACTGACTTGACCAACACTCAATTTCTAGTCATATATATGTTACGTCATCCAACTTATTTGCTCAATTTCAGTTCTAATTTAAATAGCATTATTCTCTACCCCGAGCGTCGGTGGCATAGCGGTTAGGACGCTCGCCGACCATGCAAATGGTCTTGAGTTCAATTCCCGGCCACCGACGCACTCCCTTACCTCGCTAAGCCAGTAGTGAGACCGGTAAAGAGGAAAGGTTGGACATGAGGCTAGCAACCCCATCCTGTAAAAATAAACACTGCTTCAGAAACTTCAAACCACTAGCTTGAAGCCCTATGTTCCACTGGGGAACTTGAAGGAAAAAAAATTCTCTACCCCACCTCTACTTAGTCTCTATCTGTAATTACCTGCGTTGATATCCTGACCTAAGTTGAAACATTTTAGTCAATTATATTACACTATCTAACTTACTAACTAACTCAACCTTACTTTAGTTGCTGTCTAGCTGACCTTGTTTCTATATTAGATCATTCTTGTATTACCTGATTAGTTAAAAGTCAATCTGAAAGAAGAATATTCTTCATAATACTTTGATAAAGCTATTAGCATTAAATAGCGAAACGTCAGAGTCATTCATTGGGAATTACAAAAACCTTTATTATAATGAAGAATATTCTTCTCAGTAATTTCTCTTCAGGTTCTTACAATTATAAAGCATAATATTTATTGTCGTTACAATAAAGGCCAGTTATGTGGCGGATACATTTAACGTAGAGTAACAGATTGGTAGTTATGGGGTGTCAAAATAAATAGTCGTATTTGTGTGTGAGACATACGTGCTCTGGCCTGAAATCGATTACAAAATATTTCGGTAAAATGGGAGACAATTGTGGTGATTGGTCATAAATCATAGATTCGTAGAGTGTGGTCTGACAAGTCAGTTTAAGGTGGATTGATGATTCTTCTTCTCACCAAGGGTACTCCTTCCCCTTAACCCTCTTTGTTTTTTTCTTTTGCTTATTATTACAATTATTATTATTCGTCATAATTTACGCCTTTCATGCAAATATTCTCTCAATACTATCGAATTTTTCATTTATACTATCCGGACTTATTATTAGTAGTGATATTATCTCTTTTCTTAATATATGCTTCCACCTGTTTCATTTCACACATGCGTTACTTCATTATGAACCTTTCGTTGCAGTCTTACTATCTCCTGTTTAACACAGATCACTTTGTACACAAGCCTCTCACTCACCTGACACCTGTTATAACCTTGAACTGACTTGTCAATTTTCCTACCCCACACTCCACAAATCGATTATGACTAATCAACACCACTGTCACCCATTTCACAATATTTTGTTATCGATTTCAGGCCAAAGCACGTTTGTATCAGACACAAATACTCCCATTTATTTTGACACCCCATAACTACTAATCTGTTGTTCTACGTTAAAAATGTATACGCCGCATAAATGGCTATCATGACTGTAACGACCACAAACATTATTATATTTTATAATTGTAAGAACCTGAGAAATTATTGAAAAGAATATTCTTCTTCGTTCAGATTGACTTTAAATTCTTCATGCGATATGGGAATATTTCACACTGTTAAATATGATTAATTATCTAAACTTGACAAATCTCATCTACGCACACACACAAATAATTTTATATAAATGCCACTGTACAGCTATGTGAATGAATTCGCCGTCGAAAAGCGTCTCTTCGCTGAACGTGTGTTCTCTTTTTTCATATGACTCAATGGGGATTTTTTTTGTTTGAAGCTGGTTAAACTTCTATAAAATGACAAATTGATTTTTCCTTTTTTTTTCTGTTTTACTTCTCTTTTATATGACATCAGTTTTGTGAGATGCGATCACACCTGTTCTTTTTCTTTTTTATTCTCCAGTCACAGAAATTACGCCAACTGTTGATGCGGTTAAATGCCGATCGATCACAAAAGTTTGCCAACCTTGAAGGTAGTTTACTTCAACTCCAGACTACTGTGGATTTATTGACACTTCGTCTATCTGATCTAGAAAGATTAAGCCAGGAAAGCAAATCCACTTTAATGTATATCGAAGGAGGTAAGTTAGTTATAAGTAATAGTAGTAACACATATATATATTTATTATTTTGAACAGCTGTCAGTCTTTGTCTGTGTAATTATTTCTGAGTTGTGGAGGAGTGGCTTCGATAAAAAAAATGTAATTCATTTCATTGGTGGATAGTGACTGGCAGTGAAATCTAAAATGTGCATTTCGTCCTATTTGGGACTCGTCATCTAGATGTACCTGACCGAAGTGCTTGCTCCATTCAATCGACGGGAGAATCTAAAATTCAATTGAATAAAATGTAATTCGCCTTGCTGTTTATGTATCGCTCAATACTCAAGATCAGATGGCCGGCCAGAAAAGATAAGCAACAGGGATCTCTGCCAATAAGCGAACCAACCCAGCAGGAACCGATTGTGCAAAAAATCTGCAGGAAGAAATTGAGGTGGATTGACCATACTCTGAGGAAACCATCATGTAACATCACTAGACAAGCCATTGCTCGAGTGGAACCCGAAAAGGAAGCGGTGAGTTGATCGTCAGTGCAAGGCTGATTTCGAGGGGGTCATGTGAAGTGGAGATGAAAGCATGTATGCAGACTTGGAGTTAGGTGAGAACGTTAGCAGAGAACCGAACGCAATGGAGACGTGCAGCTGATGCCCTATGTTCCTCTAGGAATTAAAGGAAATAATAATAATCATAGCGGAACGTTAGAAGACGAAAGACTTAGGTAATAACCAATACTTGAAAATTAATCTGATGCTCACTAATGACTAGCCCTATTCAGGTAGGTTTTAGTGGGAAGCCGTGACCAGTAGGCTACAGCTGGTTGAAGATGAGACAGTAGCTCACTCATCGAAGAAGACATTGCGAATAGGTCGTGCGTGGATTGGCAGAAGCTAGAATTCATGGGCTGGCCGCTGGATTAAGTCCCAGTGGCTTAATGGTCCACGAGTTAGCTCGCTTTGTAACCAGAAGAGCCTGAGTTCGAACTCTGGCGGTTTGTTCCGAAGAGTCCCAGACTGGGACGAAACAACTGTCCAGTACTCCCAGGTATTCCACTAGCTTCTAACTGATGTCAGCTCATGATGAAATCTATCATCTAATTAAACAAAATCCCTGTGAAACCTATACTTGAAAAAGGAACGTTTATTTGAATTATGGTATCCCTATATAGCCATATATATAGCCACCTTATCTTCAACGCACTGTTTGCACAGTTCTTCTGTGTTGTGCCTGATACTTCCCGCCTTCCTTCATATTATGTTTCTTTGTGTTCCTTTCACGTCTTGCTTGCATCTATTTCCGCAACGCTGTATCATTCGCCTTCTCTGACATTTAATGTATCCCCCTGCTATTTGATGTTTTTATGCCAGCTGATGGACATCTCTTCATGTACTACTGACAAATCTTATCAGTAGTACTCGCCCCACTAGTATGATTGTGTGCTGAGCAACAGTTATGCATCGTCGCCGTTTATATTGCTATTGGCAACGGTGAAATATAAGTTGTCAATCCTAAGGAATATACGATATTATCCCCAGTACTGTACACACCTGTTGTCATCATTGTAGCAGTCGAAGAGCAGACTAAGGTTTCATTGTTATTTTTTTCCTTCACGTTCCCAGTGGAACATAGGGCCTCAAGCTAGTGGCTTGAAGTTTCTGTAGCAGTGTTTTATTTTTACGGGATGGGGTTGCTAGCCTCATGCCCAACCTTTCCTCTTTACCAGTATTATTTCTGGCTTAGCTAGGTAGAAGAGTGCGTTGGCGGCCGGGGATTGAACCCCGGACTATGTGCATGGTCGGCGAGTATCCTAACCACTGTGCCACCAACGCACTTCATTGTTATAAGAATATGAAAGCTGACTCAACTTCTATTGGGTCAAAATGTTTGCCCTATGAAATGATTCGTAAGCGTGTTACTACTACTGTCAACCCTAATGTGTACTATGTTTGCGAGTGTAATTCATTCAAGTCCAAGTATTCGGGGAAACAAAATTGTATTCGCATGTATATTGGTATGGAAAACAAAAATCCATGGGCCATTGGATTGGGTCCCAGTGGCTTAATGGCCTACGAGCTCGTCTTGTAACCAGAAGGTCCTGGGTTCTAACCCGGTGGGTGCGTACTGCTGAAGAGCCCCAAACTAGGGCAACGGAAACAGCTGTCCAGTACTCCCAGTTGGTTTTTGAATGGTCGCCTGAATGATGTCAGCTCATGATGAAATCCTGTAACCAATCAACCAAATCCCTACAAACCAATGCTTGAAAATTCCTTACTGTTAATTGTTGTATTTTCCCTATTCCTTTATGTTCCCAGTGGCACATAGGACTTCAAGCTTTGGCTGTGCATTTTTAGTAGCAGCGGTGTTTTTTGGCATTATGGCGTGGGGTTGCTAGCCTCACACCCCCCCAGCACCATTCCCCTGTTTGTCAGGATTATAAGTGACTAAGGGGGGGGGAAAGGTATGCGCCGGCCGGGACTTGAGCCCCAGACCACGTGCATGTTCGGTCAGTAGCATTGAACCTATTTATCAAAGGATTGCGTTGGCCGGGCATCGAATCCTGAACTACCTGCGTGGTTGGCGAGTATTCTGTGGCTGCGCCACTGACGTAAAAAATCTAGGAGTATTTACTGGACAGCGTTTCTCTTGTCCTAGTTGGGGATGTCTTCATCAGTACGAATCCACATTTCAGGGTTGGAACTCATGGATGACTAAACCAACCAGCTCAGAGAACACTACTAATTGCAAATCATCCACCTGAGCAACAAATCTTCTCTATTATTTCAAAATCTTACGAGCGTGATACACGCTTCTGTAGTGTCGAAAATGGGAAGACTTTGCTAGAAGGCAAGTTTCTACAGAAGAACAACTATTCTTTCTTCATGAATTTCTCCGCCAGCAGATTCTACCGGCTAGTGTCAAATATAAACCACCAATTAACTGCCCTCTAACTGCTGGAAATTAGCCAAACAACATGGAAAACAAACATGGTGAAATTAATGATCACGGATGCACACAATAGGATTTAAAAATACAAGCATATGATTAGATTTCAAAAAGAAAAGGTTTAACAGACTCTTACTCCAGAACATCTGTCATCATTGAATACTGCCATTAAAATATTGAGCGATGATGAATACCTATCGGGCGACTCGTATGAATTCACGATTGATCAATCATACCAAGGATACTGGCTGTCATGATTTTAATCAAGGTGTGTTCACTAATTGCTCCTCTCCTTGGTAAATGACCGCTTCACGCCTTGTGTTTTTCAAAATACACTTACCTACTTAAACATTTTGCATGCATAAATTCTAACCACTTAGTTTGTATAATACACCGAGCACAGTTTTTTATTATCTAAAGGCTAATGCTATTTCTCATGCAGGAATACATGTACATCCAGCCACCAACGAGTTTCAGATAGTACGAAATGCACATCCTGGATTCCATTGCTAGTCACCATCATCCACCAATGAAATACTATTTCTAGTTTGTTTATTTAATTAGTAGTCAAGTAGTCAAGGAAATGCAATTTTTAACCGAAGCTTCTCTGGCTGCATACTACTTAATGATGAGATTCATAGATTCCTATGTGTTTACTGAGGAATTTACACTGTTTTCTCTTTGTTCCATATATATAAGCTGCCACTTGTTCGTCTCGTAACCTGTAGAGAGGACTTGTGTTCGATCGTTGCTGAAGAGACTCGAACTTAGATGAACAACTCTGATATTAGCCATCTTTGATCATAGGTGCCTGCGATCTATCTCCCGTGTGATGTGGTATAATAAGGTGAGCAATATCGAGTTTAGGCGTCGAGTGGTAGGTAGGTAAGGAGGGGAAATCAATCGACAAGGCTATGAAGTTACATCGACTGAGATAGTTAGGACATGTGTTACGTATGCCTAGTCATCGCCTTCTTCGACTAACGGGCAATGTTAGCTGACATAGGGTCAGTCAGGCTGGAAAAGAGCTAGCCTGTGGTGGTCAAAGGAAAACGTGGCTTCACCAGTCAATGAAATCCACAACAGGTAGTTTAAGCCAGCCACGTAGGAAGGTGTAGACTTCCTGACTGGTTGGTATCATAGGGACGGTAAAAACCAATGGTTGGAAACAATCGATGATATGGTTCAGACTTATCGTTCTCAATGGCTGGCGCAGATGCATCCACTCCTTGTGACTTATAATTTCCAGTGAAACTAGATTGTTCTTCGTTATTACTATTCCTTTGTCTCACATCTCTGTTTACTGTCTGTACTATGCATGCATTTCTACTTTCTTCTCTTGCTTTGTGTGGTACATGGAAGGAGAGTGGCGACTTGAACTGCTGCACATCGGTGCAAAGTTCTGTGTCGAAAACAGACAGACAGACAGACAGTGATATTACTGTTAGGTTATTGAAGAGAAATCTATGATAAAATCAATAAAATTTATCATAAACCAATCAATTGAAAATATATATTGTTTAATTTTAATATTTTATTTTAATTTTAATATATATATATATATATATATATATATATATATATTGAGTGAATTTTTATTTATACACAGAATTGAAAAAGTGCTCTGGGAGTGAAGCATTAGTCAACCAGTGTCATGAAGATGTTATCAAGCATGTGAATACGGTTATTGAAAATCTCTCGCGTTCACTGTCAGTGCGTAGTAGAGAAACCTTCCAACAGGTGAGATTGTTTTTGTCCTTTTTTCTCTCTCTTCGTGTTGTTTACACTCTGTTGTGGTATCTCACTCCAGCGGCGGGTTTGTATCACTGCAACTCTAGTAAATTTGAGGATAAATTTTTCTGAATATTCGAATATTGAATTTCCGTAACATTTGATACACATAGAGGATATAACTGATTGACTAGTTTCAACGTAGGATAGCATGCAGGCTGCTCAAATCACACACTTAATCAGTTGGCGACCAGTGTTTGTAAGTATGGTGTATGTGTTTTGCGCCGTCTGAGTGCAAAGTACTGTTACAAGATTGGCAGGAGCCTGTACCTGCACTCACTTTTGCGGGTGAACCGCTTGAAGTTGTTGATAAGTTTGTGAATCTTGATAGTTGCGTGAGTGTTGGCGGAGGAGTGACGGATGAGATTTCCAACCGTATAATGAAGGCTAGGGTGGCATATATCAACTTGAGCCACCTATGGTGCCGTCGTGACGTTAGCCTGGCTGTCAAAGGTTGGGTATATAATGCTTCGGTGCGGGCTGCCCTGCTCTACGCCTGTGAAACCTGGTCTCTCCGAGTAGGCTGAGGATGTTCGGCGACTCTGCGTGTTCGATCATCGCTGTCTCCGCAGGATTGCTTGCGTTCGATGGTATCATTGCGTATGTTCGAACACAGGGGAGATCACCACTCATTGAGTGTCGCCATCTGGAAACATCGGCTCCGATGGCTTGGACATGTGCTCCGAATGTCATCCCAGAGGCTTCCGTACAAAATTATTAAAGATTGTTTCATAAGTGAATTGATACCAAAAATATTTAAAAAAAATTAAAATACCAAGCGTTGTAACCGTACTCTCCGAAAACGTGTAGCTGAAGACTATCTGGTTTGGTTAATGAAAGGCGAACGTAGAACTGCGAAGTTGTCTATTTGTGATTACCTGTTAGAGTCTGGTCATTCAGCCTCCCTCCCCCCACGTGATTCATCTTTCAAAGTTATCTACATGGCAAAATCGAATCGATTCCAAAGTCTACGTTTTCTTCACTCATGCATAGCTAGCCGAAGCTTTAGCTATACATGAACGAACAGAAACCTAAATGATGTGTTCAAAAACATTTTGTCAAACCCCTTTGCTTTACATTGGTCATAGTAATGTTCTTTGTAGTCTTTATTTTATTTGACCACTTTAATTCATTCCATTTCACTTCACATCTGTATTCTTATCGTAATCGTACTCCTAATTTTTAAAATTTTTAGACAACACTTGACATTTTTGATATAAATTCACTTATAAGACAATCTTTAATAATTTTGTAATTTATCCACTTCAACTCTACCCCTTATATAACATTTTAATTATCGTTATTCTTATCACTTATATATATATATATATATATATATATATATATATATATATATATATATATAAACTGAGGAATTATTTAGTGCCACTTAATAACCATTTTCTGTGTGCGTCGGTGGCACAGTGGTTAGGACTCTCGCCAACCATGCACATGGTCCGGGGTTCGAGCCGACGCCGGCGCACACCTGATATCTATGGTCGGCCTGCGAAATTTGGGCTACCGATATCCATGCTGAAAATTCCATACTTGTACCAAAAATACAGTGTGGAATCAAGCTGTAAATCTAAAAATCTAAAAAAATATAAATACGACTGTACAGTTAGTTGGCTTGAAAATGAAGTCATTGAAAAGAAATTTCTTCGCTGAAATACAATTTTGCTTTTCGACGATTTCGTTTTCAAGCCAACTGTACAGTCGCATATTTATATTATGGAAAAAGGAAGGCATTAAGTGACACTAGAAACTGCTCAGTCGACATTGCACATAGGATGATAAGAATAAAGATAATTACAATGATGTATAACTAAAGGGGTTGCGGTAGACTTGAAGTGGATGAATTACAAAACTTTTAAAGATTATTAAACATAAGTGAACTGGTGTCAAGATTTTAATGAGTTGATCAGGGATTGATATCAGTTAGGAAACCATTGAAAACCAGCCACAGGGAGTACTGGACAGCTAGCTGTTTCATCCTAGTTTGGGAATCATCGGCAGTACGCATCCACACTACAGGGTTCGAACCCAGGACCTTCCGGTTGCAAGACATGTTCGTATACCATTCAGCCACTGGGAGCCTATTCAAATGGCCAGTGCATGAATTCTCACTTCTACCAACTGGTGATTTAGCGCCACCCCAACTATTGTCGTAAGTGGGACATCCATTCTCACACAATAGTTGGGGTCGCGCTAAATCATGAATTGGTCGAAGTTACAATTCATGAGCCATTGAATCGGGTCCCAGTGGTTGAATGGTATACGAGCATGTCTTGCAACCGGAAGGTCCTGGGTTCGAACCCTGTAGTGTGGATGCGTACTGCCGATGATTCCCATAACTAGGATGAAACAGCTAGCTGTCCAGTACTCCCTGTGGCTGGTTTTCAATGGTTCTCTAACTGATATCAATCCGTGATCAACTCGTAAAAACAAAGCTAACCCTTACAAACCAAACTATAGAAAATTAAGATTTTAAACCTGTAGGTCAGGTGTTGTCTGGCAAAATTAACAGTACGATGATGATGATGATAACAATAAAGACGGCGAAGATGAATTGAATTGTGGAATGAATTCAAGTGGTAAAATAAAATAAAAGAACATCACTATGACCAAGGTAAAGAAAGGGGTTTGACAAAATGTTTTTGAATATATAATTTTGGTGTTTTGTCCATGTATAACTAGATATTATCAACTACAGGAGGAACGGACGATGATGTACATTTGAGAATCGGGAAGGCGAGAAACACATTTATCAACCTGAAATCAATCTGGAAATCTTCGTCACTCAGCATCAACAACAAAATCTAGTCGGAGTTTCAATACAAACGTGAAGTCAGTTCTTCTATACGGATCAGAAACTTGGCGAGAGGGTCACCAAGAATATTTCCAACAGCCTGTTGCAGATCTTTATCAACAACTGTCTTCGCTGGGTCTATACTGAAGATCAGATGGCCGGACCGGAAAGAATCACCAACAAGGAACTATGGCAACAAACAGATCAAGAACCAATTAGTCGCCCATCAAATATGCAGGAGAAAGTGGGGATGGATTGGACACTCTTTGAGGAGGCCGGTTGGTGACAGAGCGCGTCAGGCCATTGCTCGAGTGGAACCAGGCCGAAAGGGAAGCACGCGGCGAGTGGGACGTCAGTGCAAGTGTGACATGGAAAAGATCGTGTGAAGAGGAGTTGGAAGAGTATGGACTAACCAACATGGATGGAGGTGAAAAGTACAGCAGAAGGCAGACAGAAACAAGTGGAGACGTGCAGTTGAAGCCCTATGTTCCACTAGGAACCCAAGGGAGCAATAACAATAATAATAACTAGATCTTCGGCTAGCTATGCGTGAGTGGAGAAAACGTAAGCTTTTAGAGTGATTGGATTTGGTCCTGTAAATAACTTTCAAGGATAAATCGCGTGTAGGCGTTGATTGACCTGACACTAAATTGAAGACTTTGTCGTCCTTCGCACACCTTTCACTAACCAAATCGGCTGGTAGTGTTCAGCTACATGTTTACGGAGATTACGCATACAAAGTCCAGTGTAATCAGCACTACACGAACTTGTTAATGAGTATAGGCACACAGAGGCAGACATAATCGATAGTTTACCCTTGACGCATTGTCGAATCATATTTTGCCTGGTAAATACTAAATGTGTAAGTCAAATGAGTAAAAAGAGCGTTTAATACATTTAGGTAAAATAACCTTTAATTACTTCAGAAATGCTTTCACCTTTGGAAGCCAAGCAGTGTCTTCTTTGGCACGCTGACTTGTCTAGGAAGGTTTTTTTTTCTTGATATTTCTGTCGATAAGCCTTCTAGGATATCGATTATTTAAGAGGAGAAGGCTTTTCTGAATCTAAGTCGACTCTCTATCTACAGAGCAAATTTTCCGAATTTTGGAGCATAGAGAACGAAGATAAGTAACTGAGAAGAAAAAACAACCCTCCACTACATTGCACTGCATGCATTTACACACAACCATACAATAGGATGGGGTGGGGATTACAATTCTAAAAAGTAATTAAACAGGTGGGTGGAGAGAGAGAATTTGATCACTGTATCTTAGTTCATAGAATCTACACACCCAACACACGTGCAATAGAAACGACTCATCATTCATATACCGGAAATATTTAAATATGACAACCAATTAAATCAATAGATGAGAAATAGTAGAATCATACAAAAACATGCGTCAGTGACACAGTTGTTAGGACGCTCGCCGATCATGCATATGGTCCAGGGTTCGGTCCCTGGCCGGCGCATTCCTTTACTTCGCTAAGCCTGAATTAAAGCTGGTAAAGAGGAAATGTTGGGCATGAGGTGGCTAGCAACCTCATCCTGTAAAAAATTAAACACTGCTACAGAAACTTCAAGCTTGAAGACCTATGCTCCACTGGGAACGTGAAGGAATTTAAAAAAAAATACAAACGAAGGGACTCAATGATATCCCCCTACACCTGCACGAGTCCTCGTGAACTAGCTAGCTGAAAAGTTTCCTGACACCCTTAAGGTGGATATTTCAAAATCACATTGTTAACCGGTTGGGGAGGTTAAGTGAATAACCACACTAGGATCTTGTAGGCGTGTCTCCGAGACACGACATACATCTGTGGCTCGAGATGCGAGAGTCCTGGTTAGTGATGCCTATTTTCCGATTTCGCAGAGAGTTCTGAAGTCAAATGCTCCAATATGGCGTTGACTGTGTGGCCTTAAGCGACAATTTGGGGGGGTGGTGTTTTTCTGGCTCTCATCGTTATTTGTGATCACCGAATGAAATGAAGATGACTGACTGAATAGCCTGCAGAATAATACTGACAATAGTAGGGAAGCAAGATGATAAGGGTGACAGGAATAAAGGAGGAGGATGATCAGGAGGTCCTCGTGTACTTTTTGGAGTGTGTGGGAGATTGTTACTTCCCGACTGCCCACACCCATGGAATTTGATTTATTCTTGGGATACCCTAAACAGGGAGAGAATCAGTGTTGTGTGACCACACAACCCAAGGGAAAACTGTGTGAGGCCAGTCAATCACAGCCTGTCTGAACTGACTTCCTGGTTCGGTTCCGTATTAGTCTGGATGTACAATTTTTGGCGTCAACCATTTCCAATCCCCTCTCTCCAGAGTGTAGAAACAGCATAGGTGGTTGGCATGCTGGTCATCTGAGGGGAACACCTTACTACTGCTGTTGCATCCCTGTTCACCAGCCAGCAGTACAACTTCGCCCACAGACCCCCAGCATAGTGTAAATCAGAAAGCTTATACTATGCCGGTAACTGCTTTCAGTCAAATCGCTCTCCGAATAATCTTCCTGGCATGGTAGGACTGACCTGCAGGGAGATTATTTTCCATCCAGTGTAGCATGTTGAGTCATTGTGAAATGCAAGGCCGATCGACCACCACGTTAGGATAGGAGCTATCTATCGGTCGGAGAGATAAGACTAGTGACTCACTCACTACTCTAACACTGTTGATTCCAGGTATCCGTAGTAGTTCATTCCTGAGTATAGGTGTCAGCATACTTTTTCTTTGAGATACGGACACTTTTATTCAATCATCCATATTTTAATACTATGTAAAAAATCGGTTTGATGAAGAAAACGTAGGGTGTATGTGTGTAGGATAGTTACTGATCGATTGTGGATAAGATTTTATTTTGATAAAGTGTCACACAGTGGTGTTGTACATTAATATTAAAACTGATGACCACGTTTCGAGCAAAAACTATTGCCACTCATAATCATATCAAGGCGCACTACTCACACAACTTTTTTCCATCATTTATATACATGAACGGAATTGACACTTTCAGAGTGTTAAAAATAGAACATATATTTCTAGCTTTTTCGCACACACATATAAACTCACTAGTAAAGGGAATAAAATTCACATTTGAATCGGAAAATGAACAAGGAGAATTAGCCAGCTATGATGTTAGATTGTAAAATAAAACCAATAAGAAAGAAACTTCACACACAAAAAGGGCCAAAGTTCAAGTCAAAGAAACAGTCAGTTCCAATACAAGTAACCTAGAAGATGTAAAAACACACAAAAACAACCAATCATGTCCAAGGTCACCAGGAAAGATGATTAATAAACTCATGGAGAAATCTAAAAGCTCACTTCAACGAATTGAAGTATGCGCTGAAGATGTCACCCAGTAGGGTGATGAAAGCATCGCAAATTAACTATCCTGCTCAGAGAACAAAACCATATCAGAAACATTCTAATATTGAATATCTAGACTTTAATTCATCTCATCCGTCGTTATCTGTTAATGCTGGATTAGTTGAGTGTCTAACAAACTGAGCAGTAGCACTAAGTAGCACAAGAAAAGACCTTAATGATGAAATAAAACAGATAGAAGAGGCGTTGGTGTTGAATAATTATCCTATAAAAATTCATTAGAAAGATCGAAAAAAGCCAAAAGCAAAATAAAAATAATTGTGAAACTGGTAGTGATCACATAAATAAGAGAGAGAATATAAGTCATCTACTGTTATACCATATGAGGAGAGGACATCTGAGACCCTACGTAGGATTCTTAATAAAGCAGGAATTAGGGTGGCATTGAAACCTACAAACTCACTCAGAGACAAGGTCTGTGGGCTAAAAGAGCCGGTTGAACCAATTAAACAAAATAATACAATTTACAAAATATCTTGGAATGACTATCAGTTACGTCAACTACACAGATCAGACTAGTAGATCGGGTGTAGTCAGATTGTCAGAACATAAGAATTTAGCTAAGGTAAGAATTATTGATCCCACCGGTGAAGATAAGTAATTTAGAAAAGAGCTCAGCAATTCCACTGCATGCAATAACACACAACCACACAATAGAGTTGTAGAGGATTAAAATTCTAAGAAGTAATACAGGCAGGTGGACAAAGAGAAAGATTGATTACTGAATCCTGCCTTGTTCATCGAGTCTACACCCAACACATGCAACGGAAGTGACTCAATGGAAATACCAGAAATATGGAAGATATTATTACCACCAGTCAGTCAGTCAAACCAGAGGAGGATAATAAATAATCTCTAAATTCTATTTCAATTCAAACACATCACAACAGCATAACGAGTAACTCATTATGACTATTAAAACACTCGTCTTGTTTCCCATCTGATTGTACTTGATCAATAACACTCATATAATTATTATTTCTGAATGTACATTATCTCATATTGATTTTTATTCCAATATCTAATCATGAATTCCATACATGTATATAAATGAAGGGAACAAGGTTGTGTGAGTAGTGTCTTGATATGATTATGAGTGGCAATAGTTTGTACTCGAAACGTGGTCATCAGTTTTAATATTATTGTACAACACCACTGTGTGACACTTTATCAAAATAAAATCTTATCCATAATGGAGTTATGCTCTACCACAGTGCCCAAGTTTTATACTTATATCAGTTAATGATCGACTTCTTCTACTTTGTAACTGTATTCATCGAAGGGGACAAGTATCTTTATCTTACTTGTGTGTAATTTTAACAATATATATATATATATGTGCATGTGTGTGTGTGTTAATTTCGTTTTATTTTCTCTCTCTCTCTCTCTGATCAATAGACTGTAATCAATGAATTGAAACACACGGATGCTGGTATGGATTCATTTCTAATGAAGTATATAAGGCAGGCAGTTTCTAATCTGACCAAGGAATCGGTCAATAAATTGATTCATGGTAAGCATCTTTTTTCTGAGGATTATCTGTCATTCAGATCGACATATAATACACTCTAAATATTTATTGATTAGTTGATAATAAAAATAAATTTGATGGTTTGAATCAAAATTGAAGTAAATAATACGCAAAGTTAAATTTTAATTGTCTGTCTGTCTGGATTCAACATAGAACTTGTCACCGAAGTGCACCACTTCGAGTTGACACGTTCCAAATAGCACACACACAAAGGTAGACAAGAAGATGAGTGAAGAGAATCAATAGAGTTTGACAAGTATAAGAGTGAAACAGAATGGGTAATGGTAGAAAGGAATATGAAGGATTACAGAGACTGAATACTATATCTGCGCTAGCCATTGACAACGATTTTGAACCATGTCACCTATTGTCTCCAGCCATTGATTCCTAGAGTCCCGAGGGCCCCAACCCGGGAGTCCGCATCTCCCTACCTACCTGACTCAGTTTTACTGTCAAGGATTTCGTAGATTGACGCCATATTATTGTTTGTTTGGCCACCACTTACTCTTTTGCAACCTGCACCTATATCAGCTAGTAATGCCCGTCGGAGGAGGCGGTGGTTAGGCATGCGCAACACGTGACCTAGCCATCTCAATCTATGTAACTGTATAGCCTCGTTGATGGATTTTCCCTCTTTCCCTGCCCAACAATCTACGCCTAACGTCGACATTACTTACTAGCTTGTTATACCACCTAACGTGAGAACGAGATCATAGACATCTATGATCAAAAACAACAGTCAACCTTTTCATGTCTTCAACTCGTATTGGCCATGTTTCAGAGCCATAGAGAAGGACGGAGCGAACTGGTGAGCAGTACACACGTCCCTTGGTTGACAGCCGGATGTCACGCCTACGCCAGAGATGGTGTAAGTCAGCGAAAGCAACTCGAGCTTTTCGGATCCGTGCTGAGATTTCGTCGCGAATCAGTCAGTTGGTGCTGATACAACTTCCCAAATAGGTGAAGTGGTCAACATGTTCTATCACTTCACTCCCTATCACTAAGCTAGATAGAATTTGACGTAGTCCAGTCGTGTAGCAGCGTCTTACATTTTACAGGGGCGAATCGCATTTATTTATTTATTTTGATTCAGCTTGATTCCACACTGTATTTTTGGTAGAAGTATGGAATTTTCAGCATGGATATCGGTAGCCCAAATTTTGCAGGCCGACCATTGATATCGGCAGAGGATCGAACCCCGGACCTTGTGCATGGTTGGCGAGAGTTCTATCCACTGTGCCGTCGACGCATGCCAAACATGCGAAGATTGCAGCTCAGCTCAAGGTGTTCAGAAGACTCCCCTGGATTTTGTCAGCATCCTCCCCTAACAGGACTATGTCATCTGCATATTCTAAGTCCATAAGACTATTCCCTGGTAACATAACATAACATAACATAACATTATTACGACCTTGACCTTGGCGGCCTGTTCGAATATTTGGGCCTGCTACCAAAATATCTACATTTTGCATCCCCAATGTTATGTTATTGATATCGGCAGAGGATCGAACCCCGGACCTTGTGCATGGTTGGCGAGAGTTCTATCCACTGTGCCGTCGACGCATGCCAAACATGCGAAGATTGCAGCTCAGCTCAAGGTGTTCAGAAGACTCCCCTGGATTTTGTCAGCATCCTCCCCTAACAGGACTATGTCATCTGCATATTCTAAGTCCATAAGACTATTCCCTGGTAACATAACATAACATAACATAACATTATTACGACCTTGACCTTGGCGGCCTGTTCGAATATTTGGGCCTGCTACCAAAATATCTACATTTTGCATCCCCAATGTTATGTTATTGATATCGGCAGAGGATCGAACCCCGGACCTTGTGCATGGTTGGCGAGAGTTCTATCCACTGTGCCGTCGACGCATGCCAAACATGCGAAGATTGCAGCTCAGCTCAAGGTGTTCAGAAGACTCCCCTGGATTTTGTCAGCATCCTCCCCTAACAGGACTATGTCATCTGCATATTCTAAGTCCATAAGACTATTCCCTGGTAACATAACATAACATAACATAACATTATTACGACCTTGACCTTGGCGGCCTGTTCGAATATTTGGGCCTGCTACCAAAATATCTACATTTTGCATCCCCAATGTTATGTTATTGATATCGGCAGAGGATCGAACCCCGGACCTTGTGCATGGTTGGCGAGAGTTCTATCCACTGTGCCGTCGACGCATGCCAAACATGCGAAGATTGCAGCTCAGCTCAAGGTGTTCAGAAGACTCCCCTGGATTTTGTCAGCATCCTCCCCTAACAGGACTATGTCATCTGCATATTCTAAGTCCATAAGACTATTCCCTGGTAACAAGTCGATTCCTAAGTCGTTAAGTTCAGTTAGGGATACTTCCACTAGCATATCTATGGTGAAGTTAAACAGAAATGGGGAAAGTGGACATCCCTGTCGGACACCATTGGTTGTTATCAATTCAGATGACAAATCCTCATAAGCCCTTACACGGCTATATGAGTTTGAATAGAGTGCCTTGATTAGTGCAATGTACTTTCTTGGCACTCCCTTCACAGTCAAATATTGCACCACTAACTAACTAACTAACAATCAGCTCATGTCCTCAAACGCACCAATCATGTGAAGGAGGCATTTTTGTGTATGAAATATATACATATACTTATGAAATAATGCATAAAAGCTGTATAAAAGGGTTACAGAGGATATGACTTTCTCTCATATGTGGTTAAAATAACTCGGTTTTAGGTTGGAGTATTAACAGAGTATAATTCCATTGTGGGTTAAATTTATTTTGATAAAGTCCCCCAGTGTGTTATATAGTAATACTACCTGACCAATAAATTGTGCTCAAAATGTGGTCATCAGTAAATATTACTGTAAGACGTTATCAGAATAAATTTTACCCACAGTGGAATTATACTCCACCGCCACAGTGCACAAGTTCTATTCTTTTATCATCAACGGAGTAATTTAACCACATTGTATGCATGTAATTATTCAGGTCTTTTAACCCTAACAATAACCCTAACACGTGAAAATATCTCTAAACTAACTGTAATCTAACTCGAACCAACTCTAATATCGCCTTTATTAATTTAACCTAACTCTAATATGTCTTTGGTTTAAAGCGTAATTTAATCTTTCCCAAATCTAAGCTGATACCTGCCAGATATCTCATTCAATAGCATACCACTTCGATGGGGATATTTTTTATTGATGATGACAACATTATTTGCTAGGTTTCACTAACTTGGTCAGTGAGCACTTGAAGGTCATTGGTGCGGTCGCACTCCGTAGGTAGTTAGTTGGTGGTGCTTGAAGTTTAACTTGGCCAGTATATATATATATATATATATATATAAACTACCTGTTATATATAACTGAAGTGAATTGTGAAAAACTCATCGCTAGTTTTGTTAATGTCTGAACCTGCTTTATTCTATTCCTTCACGTTCCCAGTGGAACATAGGGCTCAAGCTTAGAGGCTTGAAGTTTCTGTAGCAGTGTTTATTTTACAGGATGGGGTTGCTAGCCACCTCATGCCCAACCTTCCCTCTTTACCAGTCTGATTGCTGGCTAGGTGAAGGAGTGCGTTGGCGGCCGGGGATCGAACCCCGGACCATGTGCATGGTCGGCGAGAGTCCTAACCGCTGTACCACCGACGCACGTCCGCACCTGTCATAATTACTAATAACGGTAATGAACTCAACTGATACCCTAATACGTGTCTATTTGTCCGTTGTATCTTCGGAATGATTCATTGAACCATGAAAACACCAAAAAGCGAAGTGGATCCACTTTCTATCTTATCGATTCCCTTCAGCTACATACAAGGCTATACTATTTATTACATTATTTTAGCTTTGATCATAGATTGATATCAGTTAAAGAACTATTGACCTGCTGTTTCGTCCTAGTACGGGACTCTTCATCGTGGAACAACATGGTAAATAATCAGTGGTTGGAATGCTTGGGCCACAACCACATTGAATATATACTTTTGTTCACTTCAAGGAAGTGAATTACACATAGAACAGGGTGGATAATTGACACCACATACACGTATTCGGAATAATTACCGCATATATATTAGCTGTACCCTACTTCGGTTCTCTAAGGTGATTGGAATTAGACGTTTAAAGTTTGACGTATGTGTGTGTGTGTGTTCATTAGGAATCTGCTATGTGGATGTATAGACCTTTGATACTTTGATATTGATTATCCACCTGAACCGATAGTCATTAACTTCATAGATTGATCTCATGTCGTAATGCGATCAATCGTCAGTTTTTAAAATCTAATCCTATATGAAGGAATATTGATTTTTGGGTCAGGTAGTGGGTGTTTGTCGGCATGTTTTAACTATCTCAATCGATGCAGCTTTGCACCTTCATAAATCGTCTGACCCTCCTTGTATGACTCCATGTTTCCCCCATACATTTATTGCAAAGTGTGACAACTGGAAGCGACTGGTGTTTGTTGTACAAACTGTAGTGACCTAAATACCGAACGGTCTTTCATTTGGTTTGAAAGCGAGTTCATCAGGGGTCTATTGGGTTTCATTTAGCTAAGAGAGTTGAGTCATTTCAAACGGCAACTAGCTAACGTACTTGGTGTTCAACTACTCATATTGTAACGACAGAAGCCAAGGCCCAGGCAACAGATCGTTTATTGAGAAAACCAAGTCTGCTGTGATTGGTTGTTGAGTTCCTCAAGGTGTTAGGCTTTGTTATTTGTTTTTTCTCATGAGCCCCCCCCCCGCCCCGATTCGGGACGTAAACATTGACACGTCGATTGTAGTCTACGATTTGGTCTTGCAGACAGCTCTCACCACAATATCAGTTAACCAGAAGTATATATCTTTATGCTACTTTGCTTGTTTTCCTGATTGGTCATATATAGTATCAGGTAGATGAAAGATTGTGATCTGGATATTCTGGTGCTGCCAAATGAAACTGTGGGGAATTCTCACATGGAACTGTTTGATTTATCTTTGGTGAATTCGATTATATGAGTGTCCAATTAATCGTTTTATTGTCTGTGTAACGATATACATCAACGAAACTAGTTAAGTAGACATTACCCCCATTTCTATTCAATTTCATCATAAATGTACTAATGGATTTAACCCGAACTGCTGACTTCAGCGAATCACGGATTCACTTCTTACCATCAGGGAATAATCTCATTGACTTAGAATATGCAAATAATATAGTCTTTCTAGGCGAGGGCACTGACAAAATGCAGAGTCTTCTGAACACCTTGAGCTGCAATCTACGAATGTTTTGCATGCGATTCTCTCCCGCCAAATGTAAGATGATGGTACAGGACTGGACTACACTGACTCCTAGTTTAGAAACAGGGAGTGAAGTGGTAGAGCACGTTGACCGCTTCACTTATTTGGGAAGTACCATCAGCCAGTGCCAACAGGTTGATCTCAGACGAAATCTCAGTACGGATACAGGGGGCTAGTTTCGCATATGCCAGTTTACGCCGTGTCTGGCGTAGACATGATATCCGGTTGGCTATCGACCAAAGGATGTGTGTACTGCTCATCAGTCCGCTCCGTCCTTAGTTATGCCTGGCTGTGAGACCTGGCCATTGAGAGTGGAAGACATGAAAAGACTGGGTAGTTGTCTTTGATCATAGATGCCTGCGTTCTATCTCCCGTGTCAGGTGATGGTGTAATAAGGTGGTAAGCAATATTGAGGTTAGGTGTCGGTCGAGTGGTAGGTAGGTGAAATCAATCGACGCGTTTGTGAAGCATGTGCATCGACTGAGATGGTTAGGACATGTGTTACGTATGCCTAGTTATCGCCTTCCTTGACTAACGGGCAATGTTAGCTGATATAGGGTCAGACTGGAAAAGAGCTAGCCAGCAGCGGTGAAACCAAAACATGGCTTCACCAGTCAATGAAATCCACAACAGTTAGTCCTAGCCACGTAGGAAGGTGTAGACTTCCTGACTGGTCGGGTTCCTCAGGACGGTAAAAACCAATGTGGGCTGGAGACAATTGGTGATATGGATCAAAATTGTATGTGAAAATGGCGCAGGTGCATCCACTCCTTGTGAGTTATGATTTCCAATGAAACTATATTGTTTTTCGTTATTACTATTCCTTTGTCTCACATCTCTGTTTACTGTCTCTACTATACATGCATTTCTTCTACTTTCTTCTCTTGCTTTGTGTGGTACATGGAAGGAGTGTGGCGACTTGAACTCCTGCACATCGGTGCAAAGTTCTATGTCGAAAACAAACAGACAGATATTAAAATGCTATGCTTTAGTACTTCTACGTGATTCTAAACCGATCATTCTACTCACTGTCATCTGCCTTTATATACAATTCCATAGTTCTACATACGTTTGCATTTTCATCCTGTTAACTGTCATATCTTGCCATACAGTCCAGTCCAGACCAGTCTAGTCTAGTAGAGTACTGAAATCCTTCTGCCTTTAGTGCATTGTGTGTGTGTGTGTAATCATTCACCTATATTTCTAATGTTTGCTGATGTGTGTGTGTGTGTGTGTGGTGGTAAGTGGTGTTTGATTTAAACATTCACAAAGAAATGCCTTTTCCCTCCTCCTGCTTTAGATCACAAGACTGAGTGGCTGCCGAATTCACTTGGAAATGAAATCAACTTTGCCAAAATGATCGATGATGCACTTCATAGATTTGCTGCAGACAGGATCGGTCTTCCAGACTATGCCTTGGAATCTGCGGGAGGCTCTATTGTAGGCGTTCGATGCACAAAGACGTATACCGAACGTGCATCACTGTTGAGCATTTTCGGGTTGCCATTGGTTCGTCTTAGTAATTCTCCTAGGTAAGTCACTTGTTTTTTCTTTGTTTTTTCGGAATCTGGTTTGTTTGTTTACAACTGTGGTGGGGATTTCAGGTTTCAAAAGAAAATTCTGCAAAGTGTGTGTGAGATTTACCCGATGACTGATTTACACTGACATGCTTCCATGTTACCATCCATATCTTATGTTAACTGAGGAAGGCAAAAACACCTGACAAAGCTGACGAATGGCCAGGTTGTGTTGTTTTTTTGTTACATGGAAAGGAATGCGATTGCTTCACCTGAGAATCAAGAACGTGTCGTGTGTAGAGCATGTGGTTGGTTATGTCGTCCAGTGTTGACCAGGAAATCTCTGTTGGCTGGCTGATGAAGAACAACGTCGTTAAATCACAAACCATTTTGATCTCACGATAATAACAAAAAACAAGCTACTGAAATCGAAGTTAGTCAGTTGGATTTGCACAAAAAAAAGTGCCTGCACAGAATTCTTAACAGACGTCTGTCGTCTACACTTCCTTCGAAGAAGACACCATTCGAGATAGTCGAAATTTTGCTTATTTCGACAGTTGTACAGATGGTAAAACAAGGTGTATTGTATTGGACGAGGCTTATTGTTTTCAAGTATTGGTTTGTAGGGATCTGGTTGATTGGTTACAGGATTTCATCATGAGCTGACATTAGTTAGAGAACCATTGGAAAACCAGCTGGGAGTATTGGACAGCTGTTTCTGTTGTCCTAGTTTGGGACTCTTCATCAGTACGCACTCACCGCGGGGTTCGAGCCCAGGACCTTCTGGTTACAAGGAGAGCTCGTAGACCATTAAGCCACTGTGACCCGATCCAATTGCCAGTCCGTGAATTCTAACTTCTGCCAATTCACGACATAGTGCAACCGTTAGCCAATGTCATCATAGGTGGCGAGTATTTGTCCTCACACCCGCCCAACATGCTGCACCCTACTGGTCACGACTTCCCACTGGAACCCCTACCTGAATAAGGCCAGTCGCCAGTGAGCTTATTGTTTTGTTTATATTTAAGGCTGAGATGTTAAATAGCTATGTGGATCGTCTCCAGTACTCTGCTTGATGCGAGACTAATTGTAAAATTTGTAGCATACAACGCTTCTATGCAGACAAAGTTCACACCTTTGGTGATGGTGGTAGGTTTGTATGCTTCGAGCTACTTCTAAATACACTAATCACATTTGGACATTAATGTTCTTGTTAGTATACGGACTGCTAACACATAAGATATTAAGTAATGCTAAAATTTAGCATTCTAATTTAGCTCTAATGTAATGAAGACTGCTATTCAACAGCTAAAGGCTTCATTTGGCTTAGTGGTTTCTGTAACGAATGACGTTAGAACTACTTTGCAGTAGAGTAAACTAGTTTGTGAAATAACTTGGTGAATCTAAAGATGATTGTTTTTATTTGGTGTCATGCATGAATGAATTGATAACAACCAGTGGTGTCCGACAGGGATGTCCACTTTCCCCATTTCTGTTTAACTTCATAATAGATATGCTAGTGGAAGTATCCCTAACTGAACTTAACGACTTAGGAATCGACTTGTTACCAGGGTATAGTCTTATGGACTTAGAATATGCAGATGACATAGTCCTGTTAGGGGAGGATGCTGACAAAATCCAGGGGAGTCTTCTGAACACCTTGAGCAGCAATCTCCATATGTTTGGCATACGATTTGTCCCTGTAAAATGTAAGATGCTACTACAGGACTGGACTATGTCAACTTCTATCTAGCTTAGTGATAGGGAGTGAAGTGATAGAACATGTTGACCACTTCACCTATTTGGGAAGTTGTATCAGCACCAACTGACTGATTCGCGACGAAATCTCAGCACGGATCCGAAAAGCTCGAGTTGCTTTCGCTGACTTACACCATCTCTGGCGTAGGCGTGACATCCGGCTGTCAACCAAGGGACGTGTGTACTGCTCACCAGTTCGCTCCGTCCTTCTCTATGGCTCTGAAACATGGCCAATACGAGTTGAAGACATGAAAAGGTTGACTGTTGTTTTTGATCATAGATGTCTATGATCTCTTTCTCACGTTAGGTGGTATAACAAGCTAGTAAGTAATGTTGACGTTAGGCATAGAGTGTTGGGCAAAGAGGGAAAATCAATCGACGAGGCTATAAAGTTACATAGACTAAGATGGCTAGGTGACGTGGTGCGCATGCCTAACCATCGCCTCCCCCGACAGGCATTACTAGCTGATATAGGTGCAGGTTGCAAAAGAGTAAGTGGTGGCCAAACAAACAATAATATGGCGTCAATCTATGAAATCCTTGACAGTAAAACTGAGTCAGGTAGGTAGGGAGATGCAGACTTCGGGGTTGGGGCCCTCGGGACTCTAAGAATCAATGGCTGGAGACAATAGGCAACATGGCTCAAAATCGTTGTCAATGGCCAGCGCAGATGTATTCAGTCTCTGTAATCTTTCATATTCCTTTCTACCATTACCCATTCTGTTTCACTCTTACACTTGTCAAACTCTATTGATTCTCTTCACTCATCTTCTTGTCTACCTTTGTGTGTGTGCTATTTGGAACGTGTCAACTCGAAGTGGTGCACTTCGGTGACAAGTTCTTTGTTGAATCCAGACAAACAGAGAGAATGTGTAATTGAATTGCTAGACGTCACACACACATTCACCTTAGACTTTCAGAGGTAGTCAAATTTGGCTTTATAAAGGATAGTCGTTATCTTACATCCTTGCATCGAATTTCAACCACTACACTAAGAGTGTGTCGCAGTTAGACCACATGACGCGGGCACCAACATGTCTCGTCAGAAAATAAGAATTTCTATCAATCCTGATAACACATATAACACAATTTCATTAAAACGTATTGACAAAAACGATTCCAAACGAAATTTCAACCAAACATGATATATAAGCCCAGCAATTGAAACACAAGGTGGTGGGACAGTGTACTTTGACGGGACAAGCGCTCGGCAACCCTGTTGTGGTGTGATGATTATGTTTCTTTACAATCTATCTAATCATTCATTGTCAATTAATACACCTTTTAGCAGACCTAAGTTTTGCGTTCTCCACTCGCTTGTTGCTGTCGCGAAGTGTTAAGAATAGCTCGGCCACCCACCAGGTTCGTTGGGCCAGATTGGAGAGTTAGAAGGCAGTGTGGTTAAAGCTCAAGTCTTGTAGGATTGATGGCCGCATGGCAATTGTGATTATCATTTCTAGGAGAAACCAATTATTGCTTAGTCAACGACAAGAGAGTACGGTTCCGTCGAAAGAACCATATTTAGAAAGCTGGAGACGAAAGCCCAGTATACACACTTCCTTAGCTTCGTACCGATGAAATACATACGTAATCTAATCAGGTGCTCACCATTTAGAACGAGATCTATTTGTCCCGAAGACTGTGCAGAGAAAGAACTCCAGGTCATCCGAGACATTTTAAGCGGGAATGGATATCCAGAGAAGTTCATTAAAGCCAACATAGGTTACAATAGTCGTAAACATGAACTGGCAACGGTGGAGAAAAAGCCTCTGTTTTTACGTCTCCAATTCAAAGGAGATACTCCTACGGAGATTCTAACGCAGCGTTTAACAAGGGCGATCAATAACACTTTCTACTCGGCACGTCTGAGTCTATTCTTCAGTAGCCAACCAATGTTCACCTAGCAACTCAAAAATGTCTTATCTAACCTTAGCTCTTCTTCATGCATATACCATTTCAACTGTTCATGTGGTTCAAGTTATATAGGGCGGACGATTAGGCAGGTTCGTCTACGGATTCGAGAACATTTACCAGCTTGGATCCGCAGTGGGAAATTAAGTTCATAAAAAGCTCGAACCTGTCACACTTGGTCGATACTGGACACAGCATAGACGTAAACACAACTTTCAGGGCTATATACCGAATTCCGAAGTCGTTATCACGTACTGTTCGCTTACGTTTCCTACACATAGCTGAAGCTGTTGCAATAAGATCGACTAAACCGGAACTTTGTATCCAAAATGAACACGTCCAGACGCTGTTCCTACCTTGACCAAACTTCGATTGATGACTCTTCTTCTCACCAAGAGTGCTCCCTCCCCTTGACTCTCTTGGCTTTTTTTACTTCGCTTATTATTACAAATAATAATAATTATATTATTACAAATATTATTATTACAGTTATTATTATTATTATTCGTCATAATTTATGCCCTTTATGCAAACATTCCCTCAATACCATCGAATTTTCATTCATTTATACGGACTTATTATTAGTGATATTTTTCTCAATATATGCCTCCACCTGTTTCATTTCGCACATTCGTTATTTTACGACGAATGAATCTCTCATTGCAGTCTTACTATCTCTTGTTTAACACAGACCACTTTGTACTGACGACTCACTCACCTGACACCTTTTATAACCTTGAACTGACTTGTCAGTTTTCCTACCCCACACACTACAAATCTATTATGATTAATCACCACCGTTGTCTTCCGTTTCACAATATTTTGGTAATCGATTTCAGCCTAGCACGCTTGTCACACAAATATGACTATTTATTTTGACACCCTATAACTACTAATCTGTTATTCTACGTTAAAAATGTATCCCCTGCATAACTGGCCTTTATTGTATTGACCACAAATATTATAATATTTTATAATTGTAAGAACTTGAAGAGGAGAAATTATTGAAAAGAATATTCTTCTTCGTTCAGATTGACTTTAAATTGGAAGAGAGGTTGAATTCGTTCAAGGAACCTGGCTCCATTGCCCCCCCCGCCGCCCCAACGGGTGCCCGAATGAACTGTTCGCTAGGTCTTGATATGCTGCACATTAAATATGAACATCTGCCAAGGTAGGCGTTGTTGACACTGGCGACAAAGATAACCAATCACACCACCACCTATGTGTAGTTTCCCTTTTATTTGTACACTTCTGCTTACTCTTTCATTACTCTTATTTACTGGTGTACGCATGTATCACCACGTATCTTAGCTTGCTTGGTAGGTGGTTTTCTCTTTGCTTTGTTGTTGCCTATCTGTTCTATTTTCGGTTGACACTGTTGTGAGTAACAGTGAAATATGGTGTGTTTTTCTTTTCTCTTTTTTTTTTCATCAATATAGAACAATTATACAACCGGGAGATAATAATCCCGGTAACTGTTGGCCATTCTATGGAAGTAAAGGTTATGTAATAATTCGTCTGTCACTTCCAATAAATATCACTTCTGTGACATTAGAGCATTTAGCAAAAGAACTTTCACCAACTGGGAGATTGGACTCAGCGCCGAAGGAATTCCTTGTAAAAGTAAGTGAATTTTAACGCCTTCTCCCCACATATAACAAATCACATATAGACAAATTATTATACAAGTGACGACCATCAAGTGGTCTGACTTCAATTTATGTAAAAAGAAATTTTGACTATATATTCATTTTTGATGATTAATAGAAATCCGAATAGTTCTGCTGAAGAGGCTGTGGCAGCTTACACAGCGAAACGTTCAGAAAAATCTCCTTTTGACTTTTTTTTCCTAAACACTCCGGGATTATTTTAAATACTTTATAACGATTCAATCTGACTCGGCGTTCGAAATTATTCCAGGAAATTCGCAACATCTACGGTCTGGAAACTTATATTACTTAATAATATTAAATGTATAAAGAATGTATTTGATGAAATACCACCTTAGGTTAGGTATGCGGTGAATACTCATTAAGAGGAGTGACGGCTGTTCCAATTTTATATTGCGACCTCATACTTACTGATAAAAACGCAGATATTCAGGTGTGTCGGTTCGCAGGGATTTGACTAGTGACGGGATTTCACCATGAGCCGACTGGGGGTAGAGAACCATTAGAAAACCACCTGGGAGTACTGCCAGACTGCTTTTTCGTCCTAGTTTGCAGATATTTTTCAGGTGTTGTCTTTTCTTCAAAATATAAATAAATCATAATTTGAATAATGCGACTCAAGGACACTACAGGTCAGGTCATCTTATGTGGCTATATGAGTTTTTCGAAAACTGACAACTCTCTCAGTGATCGAAGGCCAGTCGGTGTTCAAATGTGTACATCAAAATCAAATGACAGTTGTGTGGACAACCACCCACCCACCCACAGAGATGCCAATGCATAGATCCTATTCGCGCTCTTCTTCTTCTATGCAGTGCACATTGATTGAATAGCCTTCGATACTAAAGCACTCACTTCACTGTTGTATAATAGACTGATTGAGTCTCACAACACACAGGACTATGCACAGAAGTGCAGCAGTCCAAGTTGACATGTTCGCTCTATTGTGGCACATATAATAAAGCGAATTTTATTTAATTTTTTTTAATTATAGCTTGATCTTACATAGTATTTTTGGTACAACTATAAAATTTTCAGCATATGATATGGGTAGCCCAAATTTAGCAGGTCGACAATTGATATCAGGTGTGCGTCCACAGGACATCGAACCCTGGACCATGTATGCGCATGGTCGGCGAGAGAGTCCTAACCACCGACACACTAAATTCAAAAACACCTACCTGACTTACAGCGATTAGAAGTGTAGGCGAGGCGGAATAATTATGTGGGGAACTATATAAAGATTTAATGGATCTTGAAGGGGTTAGTTAAGAGAAAACAGCGCCACACTGAGGAGAACAACTATCAGACATATCATATGGATGCGTTGACTCGGCGTTAACTACCAACGCTTTTCCAACCTCATTGCATGTCAGTTAACATTTGATCAATCAGAATAGACAGACAGTGTTAAATAGTTTCAACCTTTTAAAAATTTACCAAAAAACAAGTGGTCTGAATTCGTTGTTTATTGTAACAAAGACAACAACGACTCCAAACTATATACGACATTCTATCTGAATGGTCGAATTCAGGAAGTACCAAGCGCTTCTCTAACTATTATTACTCCACAACATAAATTCAAAGTCATGTCATATCACGAGGACTGTGAAGTTTTTCGTGAATACTTAAGCTAATTGTCACACGTAAACTTTCTTTTACCATACAAATCTGTGTTTTTTCTAGGCTTTGGAATCCGAAAACGATGAAAACGGAGTGATTTTGGGAAAATTTATGTATGATGTGAACGACAAGCCTTTGCAAACTTTCCGCGTCAAAGTAAGTGGACTGTTTTCATCTCACTAAGGCTTTTTTATTATTATTATTATTATTATGATTGTCGTCTCTTGGTCATCTGAATATTCCCCACTGATGTTAATGAATGCCTCTGGCTTCAATTATTAACCCCCCCATGCACATATGTTAGTTCGACTTATCAATGGAAAACATTTACTTTTCTTGAAGAGTAAAACGGGAAAATTGTCATCTTCTCTGGTTAGTTAGTCAGTAAGCCAGAGTGTAGAGACAGCATAGGTGGTTGGTATGCTGGTCATCTGAGGGAAACACCCCTGTTCCCCAGCAGTACGACTTCGCCCACAGACCCCCAGCATAGTGTAAGGAAGATTCTTACATTATTGTAAACGCCTTTGTGATTCCCAATAAATAAATGAAACCAACACAGAACAATAATTGTCCTTACTGTTTCACCACCTTACCCAAAATGAATAACCGTTGGTGTCCTCCTCCTACAAACAAAAGATTTGATCCCCACCTCAGACGATGAAGTCGCTATGTTTAAAACTACACTAGTCGACAGTTGTCAGCAGTACAAAAACAGTAGTCATTCTAGTAAACGTTTGCCGACTAAACAGCATCGAGAAGCCCTAAGAAAGCTGAGGAACGACGAAAACATTATAATCAGTACACCTGATAAAGGAGGTGGAGTAGTACTGATGAATAAGTGCAATTTACGTCGACAAAATGAATTCGCTTCTACCGGATGAAACGAGGTTTCAAAAGCTTAGCGACCCAACAGACGGACGGGGCGGAAAAGCAGTTAACTAGCACACTTAAAAAGCTGAGAAAAAGTGGAGTAATCTCAGAGGTAGCAGCTGACAACCGTCTTAAACCTACTGGAAGTAATACTTCACGATTGTATGGTCTGCCAAAAGTACATAAACCAGGGGGCTTCCTCTTCGCCCAGTCCTAGATACGTTTAATTCCTCCTACCATGGAGTGGCAAAGTGGATAAGTGAACTCCTCCCAATGAATAAATCAACGAAAATTGTCTTTACTGATGTTTCAATACTTTATCCCCTTAACGTGCATAACTGTTTTTTTTTCCAGGAATATTCTAAACCTGTCCAGTTTATTGAACTTGTTATACTCAGTAATCATGGAAACCCGGAATATACCTGCATTTATCGATTTCGTGTACATGGCAACGTGGTTACCTGATCGATGGAATAAAAAACGTCAGCGATTCTTTGTAAATAATAAAATAATACGCGCCTCTTCTGTTTCTGTGTGCTGAAATATTTTCACATGTATCTCGTTTCACCAAGTATCTCGCTTATTCTTTTCACAATCAATCACAACTCTCATTCTGCTGTTGTTGCGAAATATCCTGTCTCCAACTGTATGTATATATAAATCTAACTGTTACATATTCACAAACACCATCTTACCATCATCATCGCCATCTTCGTCGACTTTGTTTTATATATTTACCAATTTCATTGTCTACAACATGCATGCATATAAATTGTTCCCAAATGTGCACTAGTTAAACCCCAATGCCATTTAACAAATAAATCATTTGTAGAAAAAGTAGTGTAGTTAGTTATCTTATGCAACATTTATTTGAAAAATAATAATAATCTGTTAACATCATCGAGAGGAAATGCAACTCTGTCCACGGTGTGTGGGTGTGTCTGTGTGATGCACGCACAGTGGTCCACTCAGCCTTATATGTGTTGCGGGCGGTCAATTGGAACTATAATAATAATAATAATAATAATAGTACACAGACAAAGTGGTAAAAATTAGTGGACATGACTGACTCGCGGTTAATGTAAAATGAATGAGGGTCTTTGTGCGTAATACAAGGAATGGCATGTGAATGAATCTGAGGTAAAAATAATACATAGTCATTTCAATAAGAATCGTGTGTGTAATGTGTTTGCGAAACTCATCGATCTCTGCGAGTAAGGGCTAGCTAGCTTTAGAAGCGAATAGTATTCCCAGAACCAATTAATGGTGAGAACAGGCGGCGGGTGCGTCGGTGAGGCACAGCGGTTAGCATGCCTCCCCACCATGCCGACCACATGATCCGGGGTTCGATCTCCTTCACCTCACTCACCTAGTAATACGACTGGTGAATAGGGAAGGTTGGGTATGGGGCCAGCTAGCAACCTCACCCTGTAAAAATAAACACTGCTACAGAAACTTCAAGCCTCCAGCTTAAAGTCCTATATACCACTGGGAACGTGAAGGAAATAAATAAACAGGCGACCTAAATCCTCTGTTGCGAAACACATGACAGAGGAGACAAGGCATCAAATTGATGTTTTCACAGGTCTTTTAAACCTCTCTGTAAAACCTGTTGAAGGGGAGAGCGTATTCCAAAGTTTGTGGAAGCCCTAGCGAGCAACTAGCAATTAGAAAGCTCAAATCACCGTTATGCGTTCAAAGCAACAATTCGTCATCACACTAAACTACCTTCCTTCGTAAACCTTGTTTTGATACCATACCAGACAGGGTGGATGTACCATTACCTCTGTTATTTGGTTTTGATGATCTTCGTTGTTATTTTCACCTTTAATATGTCCTTTTAACTCAACCTAAGTAGTCTATTTTCTCACCCTTTAACCCTTTATTAATTTCATGTATACATATTGCTATGACAAGTATGTGGAGTGTGATAAGATTTTTCGAAATGTGTTGCACAAATACATTACACACACGATTCAGACAGACAAATTACGTCTTCTTATTGCCTTGTCTAAGTATAGTGATTGCATGTGCAGTGAGTTGTCAAAATACATTACATTAGAAGGAAGACTGGACACCTTATCCAAACATCAATTTCAGGTAACGAATTACGTAATGTAGAAGGCGTTAATCGGATAGAAACTACAATAAAATCATTAGAATTGTAAATTTTAGGCAACAAATCTCACTAATGGTTTAGAAACTGAAATAAGGCTGAATAAGCGAGTTGAGAGTAGTGACACAATCTAATTGACGAGGTTGAGTAGAGCTCAACTACAATCAGAAATTGGACAAAAGTCAAGTTTACATCAGTGGTAATAAGGACGAATGGGGGAAGGAAATATTATAGAATTAAGAAACTTGGGCAAGAAAAAGGTTAAACAAACATTACTTATTTAGTGTCTCGTCTTTCTCCTGGCTGTTCGTTTCGTAATTGTATAAGAATCTCTTTCCCCATCCATCCTAATTACCACTGTTGTTAACCTGACCTTTGTCCAAATTTTAATTGTGGTTGAGCTGTACTCAACCTCGTCAATCAGATCACGTCACTACTCAACTTGCTTATTTAATTTTAGTTTAGTTTCTAAACCAAACTAGGATCAGCTTTACTCACATTACTTGACTAGAATCATTTGGTTGAAGAAGTTTCAGGTATCGGCTAACTGATTCACACACACAAAGCAATTTCATCCTAATTTAAAGAATCTGAACACAATTCTCATGAATGACTGCGGTCATCTGGATGTGTGTGAGTCAGGATCGAAAATTTGAATGTTAGTAAGGAAAGTGGTTTTACAATGCTCACACCACATGCAGACAAACTGACAATACGAATCGTCCAAGTTCCAGTCACTTAGGCAAAGTTTAACACACCACATTTATACTGTTTGTTAGTTAGGTGGTGGTTATTTATTTTGACTCAAAGATGCCGAACTTTGCAGTGGAAAAAACAACAACAGGTATATGTACAAGAAAAAGAATTACCGTGTCCATGCACCAACTGTGGACAATCGCGTTGTACATGTCCTTTGCGTCCACAATGGTAGCAAGTTTTTGTTCGATTGAGTGTCGGTTGCACTTCCTTTTTGGCATTTGATTGTTTAGCCGCTGAACCATCAACTGCATGACAACGTTCTAGAATAGCAGCAATGCAGTCCAACTTCTGAGATTCCAAGGCTTCTTGGTATTTCGAAAGCAATCCTCTAACAAAGGAAGATTTAATCTCCCAATCTTGCTGTGGTCCTGGTGGTAAACTGCGCTGAACAACTTCACAAACCCTTAAATACCATTGATACGGTGTTTCACCTTGTCGTTGAGGTACTTTCGAAAGGTACCTAATCATGCTCAATTCATCCAGAATCTGTTCACCATACAGAAGTGATGATATATATGGCCAATCCTTACGTGATACACTGGAACTGTCTAATATTTTCTGCAGAGAAGTATCACACCAAAGACGAAGACGTTCCACCTTATCTTCGTCAGTGTAGTTCTCTTCTGTTGCCATTTTCCAAAACTGAGGCAGCATTTGACGAACGTTATCAGGAGTGATAAGCACAAGTGGTGCATTCTCCTCTTTTTTAAGTAACGATTGCATTTTAGACCAAGCAGGAAGGTCTGAAGTCGCCTGCTTGTCTTGGTTGACCGGTGATTCAGAAGAATTGTTAGGGCATTCTGGATCAGGTATCGTTGATTCTTTCGTTTTCTGATCGCCTCCAGAAGATTCTCTGACTAAACGACGAGTGTTCACCATATCTCGAGAAACCAAATGCTCAACTAGACGATCAACAACTAAAGTTAGCGAGTCAACTCTTAAACGTAATGAATTGATCTCATCTTCGTCACAACTCTAAAACAGATTTTACACAAATTAAACAGAGTAAGAGAGACAACCAATAAGGGAGTTGGATGGTTTGTTGATATTACAATGAAGAAATGAATAGCTTGACTAGTAAATAAAAAAATAAGTCGATATTTGCTTGTGTATCGAGTTTCGTTTATTGACAACATGATTATTTATTCTTGATTACTTCGCGTTCTGAGTGGTGGACATAAGACTTCAGGCTTGAGCTTGACAGTAAGTAGTAGTGGGGTGTTCATTAGGCTGACGCTCAATCTTCCCTGTTTACACCCAGCTTGCTACTTCGGCCAGGGGAGGTTTAGGTGTGCGTCGACTGAGAATCAAAAGCCCCTGACAACGCAAGTGCTCGGCGAGTATTTCATCACACCTACAGACGTGAAGGTTGGCGAAATCACTCGAAAGAGTTATCAAAATATAGGCGCTCCTCACCTTTCACCAACTAACTGCTTGTCTCTATTGGTCTACGAATAAACGACATTCTCAAAATGAAAAAATCTTAAACTAACATATCAGCTGTCTTGTTTATTGCATTCAGGAAAGACACCCATCCAGACATGAAAATGACAATAAAAAGTTCAGCGAAGGGTCTGTTTTCGATGAATTCATTCCCTTAGCTGTACCCTTCGCAATTGTACACAATTAGGGTTAATGGTGGCATCATATCTTTTAGTAACATATTTTTCTCAACTAACCAAGCTTATTTGGTTTAAAAGTCAATCTGAACGAAGAATATTCTTTTGACACCCCATAACTAATCTGTTATTCTACGTTAAAAAATGTATCCACCGCATACCTGGCTATCTTTATTGTAACGACCACAAATATTATATTTTATAATTGTAAGAACCTGATGAGAAATTATTGAAAAGAATATTCTTCGTTCAGATTGACTTTTAATTCATAATATGGGAATATTTCACACTATCAAATCTTATAACTCTCATGAGCATCCTGTTGCGTTAAAGGAACTCAATGAATTCCTGAAGTTCAACGTACGGCTCGCCGAATCAAGAATATATATCGAAATTATAAAGGATTGTATCCAGAAGAATCGATATCCTAAACTCTATTGGAAATCATTACGTAGAAACAGAATACCACAAAGTAAAATGACTTTAAAACGACATGCACTTAATCAGCTCGAATCAATACAGTCTGACATTACACAATTGGAATTAAATATATCACAAAGGAATTATGCACTTCTCGACCTTCCAGAGGAGATGAGACTACAATTTATGCAATATGTCGACGAAATCGCCGAATGTAATTCCTCGAAAAAACGAACACAACTGATGAAAGGCTTAGAAAGCCGAACTCCGGAATGTAGATTTCCTGCTAATCCAGAAAGGTACGTCCATAACTTTTCCAGTGTGATTCTTGACAAACTACAACTGGAAGCGTTATCTCTAGGGTCTAAGTTTTGTGATATCCGTACGGAGATTAGTCAGATTGACACTGATGTACAATTCGAGAACTTCTATATACAAACAGGGGACTTGGTCGCCTCTTCTGATGAGGACCTAGAAAGATTCAAATCAACCCTGGTAGACTGTTGCTATCAGTATAGACAGAAGGATAAGAATAAGCCCCATAGTATACTCACAAAACAGCACCGAGAAGCTGTCAAAAGACTAAGACAAAATGAAAACATAGTTATTACCAGACCGGATAAGGGGCCGGGGATAGTAATTATGGATAAGCAGGACTACATCAATAAGATGAACTCCATACTAGCTGACAGAAGCAAGTTTCAGAAGCCGAAAGCGATGAAAGATCATACGGAGAAAATAGAGAAAGAAATAACAAACTTATTAAAGGATTTGAAGGGTAAAGGCTATTTATCACCAAAAACTTTCGAAAACATAAAACCTACAGGGAGTACCATCTCACGTATGTATGGTTTACCGAAAGTGCATAAATCAGGAGTGCCCCTACGCCCCATACTAGACATGTCCCATTCACCCTATCACGAGACGGCAAAGTGGCTGGTACAGCTGCTTCAACCCTTG